ACAAGTGCTCTTAACTGCTGAGCTCTCTTCCCAGCCCCTCTCTTTATTCTCACGATTTCAAATGTTCTTTAGTTTCATGGTTTCCCGGGGAGCTAAGGGAAGGGGAGACTGGAGCTGGGGCTTGCACCGAGGCTTCAAGGATGCTAAGCACATATTCTTAACAACCTAGATACAGTTCTAGCCCCGATGTGTTATTTCAGTGTCTTCATCGATGTGGGTATGATTTGTCACTGACATTTCGTTTAGACAGTCATCTAGTGTTTTATTTCCTACAGTAAAACCCTGAACATCCATCCCCTCTGTATCCTCACATCACAGTATAAGGATTTAACATTCTTCACTACTTTGAACTTTAGCTCAACCCAGCATTTTCAGTCATTTCACAAAGCATCGCATCTGTCAAACATATATTCTGTTCAGCACTTTTTCACATATCCTACAGAAACCATTATGTCCTGATTCCTCACTGAAAATCTGATTACAAAAACAAAAACAAACAAACAAACCTGTTGTGTGGCGGTGGCACATGCCTGGAGTCCCAGCACTCGGGAGGCAGAGGCAGGGGGTCTCTGAGTTTGAGACCAGCCTGATCTACAGAGCCAGTTCCAGGACAGACAGGGCTACACAGAGAAACCCTGTCTGCAAACAAACAAACAAACAAAACAACCAACTAACCACCACCACTGCCACCAAAAAAAAACCCCCCCAAAAAACAAAAAAACCTATGGACTCCTCACTTATAATGCACAAACTCACACAAAGCACACATACAGAATTTTCTGTACGTTTCAGGGGACTTGTGAGCCCTTTGGAAGCTCTGACATGGATTGGATCTCGGGCTGGGTTTCCCAAGCTGGAAAGAACATTGGCTTTAGGATATATAGATTCATGCTGCAACTCTGCAGGCCTTGAGCCCTGGAGGAAGTCCTCTGCCCTTCCTCAAGCCTGGCTGAGCTCCTCAGGCTCCGGTCTCCCCCACTCACAGCATTACTCTGAGCATTTTCAAGTGTAGGACATAATGAATTGCTTTAAAATAAAACAAACAGCCGGGCGGTGGTGGCGCACGCCTTTAATCCCAGCACTCGGGAGGCAGAGCCAGGCGGATCTCTGTGAGTTCGAGGCCAGCCTGGTCTCCAAAGCGAGTTCCAGGAAAGGCGCAAAGCTACACAGAGAAACCCTGTCTTGAAAAACCAAAAAAAAAAAAAAAAAAAATAAAACAAACAAACAAAACCCTTTTCCCCACTCTCTCATTTCACACTCAGTGTTTGTGGAATTAGCTCCCCCATTTGACTTTGAATAATCATTTAAAAAACTAAGCCTGTGCTGGATGGCTGTGCTCAGTTTAACTAGAGCTGGGCGGAACATCGGTTTTGAGCAGGCCCTTCCCCAAGGCGGCCTCCCCTTCCCTTTCACTCCCTGTCTTCCCCGTTGTTGGCGTGTTAGGGGAGCTGTCACTTGTCTCAAAGAAGGGACGATGGAGACGGAAAAGAACTCAGGAGAAAGAACAAAGAGAGCGAAGCTCTCTGGGCAGGAGTGACTTGAAGATGGGAAAGAAAGCCTTTCCTTTTGCTAGAAGAGTGAACACTTCAGCAAGTCAGTTACATGTAGGAGATGAGAAAAGGCCTTATGCTGCTTTCCCAACTGGCTGCCATGTGGGGGTCTTTGCTTTAGTTTGCAGAGCAGGTAAGGGCTGACTTACTGGCCACTTGGCTTTGATCCTCTCGCTGGCCAGGGTTGTGCGCTGTTCCTTCCCTCCTTGAAGACTAAGTTTTACTTGATGAAAAGGTTTGGGCCGGGTTCCTCTTCAGAAGCGGAACTGGCTCACAGCTTCGGCCCTGCCCTCGCTAGGTCCATCACCCCATTTGCGCACAGGCCACGGCTCCTGTTGCTGTCCCAGTCAATGACTGAGCACAAACAGGGATGCTAACGCAGGCACATGAGAGATGGAATTCCTTTGACCTAAAGATTTCTTGGCTTGGCCAAACCTTTCTTGGAACTTCATTGCCGCCTGAGCAATCCAACTCCAACCCAACTAAGTCTCTCTCCTTCCACATGTCAGACCTTCCTTCTCCTACTTCTCCGATAAATCTCTTGCATGGTTGTTTTTTTTTGGGGGGGGGGGGGCGGTTTGTCAAGACGGTTTCTCTGTGTAACAAACAGCCCTGGCTGTCCTGGAACTCACTCTGCAGACCAGGCTGGCCTTAAACTCAGAGATCTGCCTGCCCCTGCCTCTTGAGTGCTGGGATTAAAGGCGTGTCCCACCACCGCCCAGCTATCTCTTGCATGTTTATCTCATCTTAGTATTGTCTTCACAGACCAAAACTAACACAATTTGAGAAAACGGATGCGTTTTTGTGGTATCAGGAATGGGAGGGTGGTCATGCTGTAAGGTGCTCGAAGGTGTGTGTGATGATTTATGGGGCTTCAGTGAAAGCCATTTGAAGTGTTTGGAGACCAGGTGATCCATTCCACCGCTGAACTGACCTGATCCCCCCTTCCTATATAAAATCTACCGCTTTGAATCTTGCCCTAGACAAGGCCCTGCTCAGCCTCTTCGCTGCCGTCGTCTGCAGCTGCATCCTGAGTTTCACATCCCTTCATTTCCCTGCAGCCACAGTGGTGTCCTATTCCACGTGCTGGCTGTGCTCCATCCTCGCTCACAGCCTTCATGCCCACTGTTCTGTCTACGGAATGCTGTCCTCTCATCTTTTGCCTAAGGAGTCTCTGCGCATACTTCAGTCTAGTCATCACCCCCTCAAGGTGGCTTTTTTGATCTTCTTAACACTAGGTGAGAGCTGGGTGTGATGGCTCACACCTTTAATCCCAGCACAGGGAGACAGAGGCAGGTGTGTCTGTGAATCTGAGGACAGCCAGGAATATACAGTGAGACTCTGTCTCAAAAAACAAAACCAGTCAATCACCCAACCAACCTCTCAAAAACACTAATCAGAAACGCCTACAACAGTTCTCACTGGCTATCGCTCTTATCAGGGTTGCAGTCGGCTCAAACACTTGAGATTGTCTGGCCAATGTCTTTCCCCTTCTTTACAATGTTGCCCAAAAGAAAAGGAGCCGTTGTCTCAGCCTAGGGTCTGGTTCACAGTCAGTCACAGAGCAGACACTTGGTAATATGTTTGTGGAATGATCAAGCCCATCCATCAAGGAATGGCAGGGAATGCTCTAGAATACTGTGTCGTGTCTGGAGTTTGATGTTTCCCTGCTTACAACTAATAACTTCGCCGATCCTGTTTAATAAGTGCTTCGAAGTCACACGATTTCTGAACTGGAGATAATGGACTTTATGACTCACAGCACAGCAGAGAGCATCAGGTACCGTAGGTGTTTCAGTCTTCCTGCTTCCTAAGTCTGAAGCAGAAGGCTCAGCTGGGTTTCATCATGAGAGAGCAACACTGAGCTCCAGAACCTTCCCTTTTGTAATAAGCACTAAGCAAGCGTGTTCTTCTTATTTATTTATTTTGTCGTCGTCGTCGTCGTCGTCGTCGTCGTCATCATCATCAGCATCAGCAGCAGCATCAGCAGCATCATCATCAGTTTTGTGAGACAAGGTCTCACTCAGTAGCCCAGGCTTGCTCGGAACTTACTTTGTCTACTGTCTCCCAGGCAGGTCTCAATCTTGAGGTAGCCCTATCGTCTCAGCCTCGCGAATGCTGGAAATAGAGGTGTGAGCCCCTCTGCGGGCAGCAAGCTCCTTGCATCTCCCTTCCTGCAAACACAGCCCTGCGAAGTGGCCCGTGGAAAAAGTAGGCAGGGTTTTGCAGGGTTGCCGCAAACCCAGTAAGGTGTGGAGGAGCAGAAGAGACCCACAGGGAGTATTGCCCAATAAAAGGTCCCTCTACAAACCATTTATACCCAGACAAAGCCTCCGAAGAGCATCCACACCCTCCATTCCCTCTCACAGTATACACATGCATTCTCGACTGGAAAGGAACTGATCATTGGTTTACTCACTTGAAGCAGAAGTTGGAGTCTTATTTCCTTGAATGGCAGGGTTGTCTAAAGTTTTCAGAACACTGGGGGGGGGGGCTAGGTTGGCTATGCCTGTAGTTCCAGAATTTAGGAGACTGAAACAGAAATGTCTCAAGCTCTGGGCCAGCTTGGGTTGCACAGTAAGACTGTTTCTCAAAAACTAAGTGGCTGGAGAGATGGCTCAGCAGATCTGGTTTGGTTCCCAGATCCCACATGGTGGCTCTCAGCCATCCAAAGTTCCAACTCCAGGGGATCTGACACATGCTTCCGACCTCCACGGGTCCCTCCCACATGTGCTCAGGCATACATCCAGGCAAAAAGCACTCACATACATAAAAGAAAATAAATAAATCTAAAATTCTACTGCTTAAATGACTGAGCCATTTTTTTCTCAGCCCCACAAAACAACTTTTAAATGAAACATTGTAACACAATACAATCCAAAAATATACTAATTTTATAATTACATGCTGGGGAATAATGGGAAAATATTAAGTCTTTGTTTTCCGTAATTAAATGATTATGTTCCTATAAGATCTGAAAACTTTGTGTTAGAGGCACTGCAGTTGGTGACATGCAAGGGTCTCCAGGCCGGGCAGGAGGAGGGTCTCCAGGCCGAGCAGGAGGGTTTCAGCCACCTTAGTGGCAGCATGAGGCACCAAGGCTGCAGTGTCGCAGAGACACTCCACCACCACACTGTCAGAGACACCTTGGTTCATTTCACATTTGATTTGGATTAATTTTCAATTACAGCACATTCAGAAGCCTTTTGCTCTTCTGTCTCCCACTATCCCATGTATTTACCTGACCCCATATAAGGTCACGAGAAGCTAGGAGCAGGAGGACCGGGGAGGAGGGAAGCCCAACTTTGGTATGCCGATCTGTCGGTCTACGTTTACTAATTTAAGGGTTTTAAATGATGACCAGGAGCAAGAGACTTGGTCCAGGCACCTAAAGCCCAGCGGTCCCTGGAGCTGCTCTCTGGTCTGAGCTACCTGCTTCTCCTCTTGCAGTGAACGTGGTGGAGGCTCTGCAGGAGTTCTGGCAGATGAAGCAGTCCCGGGGCGCCGACCTGAAGAATGGGGCTCTGGTGGTCTACGAGATGGTCCCTTCCAACAGCCCTCCCTACGTCTGCTACGTCACTCTGCCAGGGGGAAGTTGTTTTGGGAGTTTCCAGGTAAGAGTTACAAGGCAGCAGCGTAAGGACAAGTGTGTACGTGCTAATAAGGGCTTTATTACTTTGGCCATTAATCTCTGCCTGAAGTCACATATTTGAGTCACCAACTCTGGGCAAATCCTCCTGGCAAGCACCAGAGGCTCATGAGGTCACCGAGGTGCCTCATCAGCATGCTCTCTTTCATCCTGCAAAAACTCAAACCCATCTCAAATTTGATTGTGCCCTCTCTTACTATATCAGACTCCCAGCACCCAACCTTTGCACTAATCTGGCTTTCACAATTGCACTCCAACTTCCTGTCATTTCTTCTTTTTTAACTGTGTAGGGGTGTTTTGCCAGCTTGTATGTCTGTGCGTCACATGTGTGGAGTGCCCCAGTACCCTGGAACTAGAATCCCAGATGCTTGTGAGCTGCCATGTGGGTGCTGGGAATCAAACCTTGAGTCCTCTGGAAGAGCAGCCAGTGTTCCCAACCACTGACCCCATCTCTCCAGCTCTGATTTTATTCTTTAAAATAATTTGTTTATTTATTTATGTGCATTGGTGTTTTGCCTGCATGTATGTCTGTGTGAGGGTGTCAGATCCACTGGAACTGGAGTTACAGACAGTTGTGAGCTGCCATGTGGGTGGTAGGAATTGAACCCCGGGTCCTCTGGAAGAGCAGCTGGTCCTCTTAACCTCTGAGCCATCTCTCCAGCCCCTGATTTTATTTTTAATTACATGTATATGTATGTTGTCTGTGTGGGGAATGTATGAGTGCTGGTGCCACTGAAGCCAGAGATGATGGTAGATCCCCTGGGGCTGGTGTTACAGGTGGCTGGAAACCTTGTGATGTGGGTACTGAGAACTGAACTCAGGTCCTCTGGAAGAGCAAGAAGTGGTCTTAACTACTAAGCCATTTTTTTCCAGCCCCTCTTCCTCCTCCTCCTCCTCCTCCTTTTCCTTCTCCTCCTCCTCCTCCTCTTCCTCCTCCTCCTCCTTTTCCTTCTCCTCCTCCTCCTCCTCCTCCTCCTCCTCCTCCTCCTCCTCCTCCTCCTCCTCCTTTAAAGACAGGCTTTCATGTAGCCCAGCCTAGCCTCAAACTATGTAGCTAAGGATGATCATGCTGAACTTGTGATCCTCCTGCCTCCATCTCCCAAGTGCTGGGACTATCTGTGTATGCAGTGCTTGGGACTGACCCCAGGGCCTCCTACATGCTAGGCAAACACTACAGATGAGTGCCAGCCCCAGCCCCCAGAGTACACTGTTTTGAAATTTTTCCTATTGCTAACATTCTGTACAGATATGAAGCGCTGGCCATGGTGGAGAGAGTAACTACCTTCATAGGACAGTAAGAAGTTACAGGTGGAGAGTAACTACCTTCATCGGACAGTAAGAAGTTACAGGTGGAGAGTAACTACCTTCATAGGACAGTAAGAAGTTACAGGTGGAGAGTAACTACCTTCATAGGACAGTAAGAAGTTACAGGTGGAGAGTAACTACCTTCATAGGACAGTAAGAAGTCACAGGTGGAGAGTAACTACCTTCATCGGACAGTAAGAAGTTACAGGTGGAGAGTAACTACCTTCATCGGACAGTAAGAAGTTACAGGTGGAGAGTAACTACCTTCATAGGACAGTAAGAAGTTACAGGTGGAGAGTAACTACCTTCATAGGACAGTAAGAAGTTACAGGTGGAGAGTAACTACCTTCATAGGACAGTAAGAAGTTACAGGTGGAGAGTAACTACCTTCATAGGACAGTAAGAAGTTACAGGTGGAGAGTAACTACCTTCATAGGACAATAAGAAGTTACAGGTGGAGAGTAACTACCTTCATAGGACAGTAAGAAGTCACAGGTGGAGAGTAACTACCTTCATAGGACAGTAAGAAGTTACAGGTGGAGAATAACTACCTTCATAGGACAGTAAGAAGTTACAGGGCTAAAGAGAGTTGAGCCGTTACGAGCACTTGCTGCTCTTTCAGAGGACCGAGTTCAGATCCCAGCACTCACACCAGACAGCCCAAAACCACTATAACTCCAGCTCCAGCGACCTGACACTCTCTAATGACACAAGCGCACACACGCGTAAAAGTAAAAAAACAAATTATAAAAACTTTAAAAGAAATTATTGTAGATTGATATGAATATAATCATCAAGAATTGACTCCCCACCCACATTTCAGACAGGAAGGCAGTCTTCCAAAATGTCAACTTGAGTCTGCACAGAAGTTTAAAGAATCTAACCAACAGACACCTTGGGTTAGTTTTGGTGTGGTTGTGTCACCTTCAGATAAGGTAGGGACCCTTGCTGTTTCCATAGCTCCTTGGGTCCCCCATTGTCCCGGCCAGCAGGATCTTCAACGGAGACCCTAGAAGGGGGAGTGGGGAATGAAAGGGACAAGAGACACAAAGAATTGACAGCAAGACGGTATTCTGATCAAGCTGCAAAATTTTATTTTTCTCAGGCAGGTTTTATAGCAAGCGGAGCAGGAAGCTTTCTCTGGGAAAGAAACCAAGCAACCCAGCCGCAAAATATTCTTACTAATGGTCAGTGTAGTAAAAAGATAAGGAAATTTTCTAATAACTCGGGACTTGTCCAGGCATGTCACAAGTTTCTGGTTAAGTGGCTCAATACTGGAGAACAGAAACTTAACTCAGGCAGGCAATATGGCATGGCTCTTCAAATTGTCCCCAGCACCCCACCATATTAACTTACATCATTATTGATTATCTCTTCAAGGGTTCTGGAGTGTTCGGGTTTTTTTTTTCCTGGCTCTGTATATATGTATATGTGTGCGCATACACATAGGATTGAACCCAGGGCCTTGCAAACTGTCTTCTTTCTTATTTGGTATTGAAAATCTGCCACCTGCTGGGCAGTGGTGGGCACACCTTTAATCCCAGCACTCGGGAGGCAGAGCCAGGTAGATCTCTGTGAGTTCAAGACCAGCCTGGTCTACAGAGTGAGTTCCAGGACTGCCAGACCTGCTTCACAGAGAAACCCAGTCTCAAAAAACCAAACAAAAACAAAAACACGCCACCCACTCAGACCCGAGCACATAGACAATCACCTGTTGCATTTGAATGAGAACCGCTGTAGCTCTCAGTTCTTGCCTCAAACAGGAAGCCCTGAGGAAACCTTGTTTACTTAGTTTGTTTTTCTGGACAGGGTTTCTCTGTAGTCCTAGCTGTCCTTGAACTCACAATGTAGAACAGGCCGGCCTGGAACCCGTGGAGATCTGCCTGCTTCTGCCTTGGAGTGCTGGGATTAAAGGCATCACGACGACTGGCTTGGAAGCCTTGTTTTAAACCACATGACTAAGCTTTTTGACTCAGCACTTGAGCCATTTCAGGTAAATAAATACAAGCCCAGCCTGGGAAGACGAATGTTTACATTTGGTTTTCCCTTTTCATGTGTGTGGTGTGCAGCTAGTGTGTGCAAGTACACTTTTGTGTGTGCATGCAGACTCCTGCGTTGATGTGGGCAGACGTCCTCAACCGCTCTTCCACCTTACTCACTGAAGCAGTCTCTCAGTCAAACCCAGAGTTGCCAACATGGTGGTCTCGCTAGCCAGCCTCCTTTAGGGATCCCATCTCTGCTGTTCCGAGACTGCAGTTTCAGACAGGCATTATGGGGGTTCCGGAATCTGGGGTCTGAATTCTGGTTTCACACTTTAACCACTGAGCCCTCTCAGCCCCCATGTTTCTTACTAAAGAATACTATGGCTCCTTCTCACCTCATCACAGTCTGAAGGGCAGTTTGAACTTTACGATGCTCATAAAGGAACTTTTTGAACTGAAATGATCTCTTCTTGGCCTCTTCAGCTCGTTGTTTTACATCCACCTTGGCAGATGGAACTCTCCCAGTAGCTTTCTTCACAGCCGACTTTTCAGACGCAGTGTTATAGGATAAAGCAGTTAACGGGCTGGAGCTAAGGTAGAAAAGGGAACTGAAGAAACAGGAAGTGTTAGTGTGAATGTATCAAGCTCCATATGCCGTCTCAGAGGGAACAGTCCACTGAGGGAAATTAGGAGGAGTTAACGGTGATAGTTAAGTGACGAACATCTCCCACTCTCCTTTTAAAAGCTGAAACATCAAACCAGTGTGGTGCGGCATGTCTTTAAGCCCAGCACTGGGGAGGCATGGGGATCTCTGTGTGTTCAAGGCCAGCCTGGTCTACATAATGAGCTCCAGAACAACCAGGGCTACAGAGACCTTGTCTCAAAAAGCAAAAAGCCACACCATTCCTCTTAATCATGAATGGCAGAGGGTCCAGAGGCTTCCTCAGTACCTGACAAAAAGACTACTTATACCAGAGCAGTATGATGGTGAGGGATCTGAAGTTGGGATGGGCCAAGCCTTCTGAAAATCAGATTTGCCCTGCTGCCCATGTTGGCTACAGTTTAAAACAAGTTGATGTTTCCCCTGCTTTCCTCCGTCAGCCTTCCTTCCCTCAGCTACCTATCTTCCTGCATCTACGGGGGTGGGGTGTGGGGTGGGGGGGACATCTTCAGACTTAGACCCTGTGGAGGAAGCTCCTGTGGCCTGCCTGTTTACAGCTAAGACTGAAGAGCAAGACTCCCATATGGATGCTTCTAATGGGACATGACGTGTTTTCATCTTGGGTTATCTAGAATTCAGACATCCTTGCCTGAGGAGCTGGCCAGGATCTGGCTTTTGAGTAATTAGTTCTGTTGACAGTTTAAATAGAGGCATTTTTCATGTCTTATGGTTATATGCTGACTTCAGCAGCCTTCCCCGCTCTGCATTCAATTTGGTGTGAGCTAGTCATCTCCAATTCTTTAATGACTTCAGGATGTTGAGTCAAAGTTATGTTTTCAAACACCCCAGCCATTTCACAGTAAAGCTTCGGAAAGTGTGATGAGCACAACTGATTCATCTACGGTGTCCAAATGCCTTCCTCCTCAGTGGCGTGCTTCCTGCTGTTCCTTCCTCCCTCGTAGATGCACAAGTACATACTCTCACTCTTTCTCCCCTGCCTAGTTTTGCCCCACAAAAGCTGAGGCCCGGCGAAGTGCTGCGAAGATTGCGCTAATGAACTCCGTGTTTAACGAACATCCATCCCGAAGAATTACTGATGAGTTCATTGAGAAGAGTGTCTCAGAGGCCCTGGCATCTTTCAATGTAAATAACTTGGACATGGGAGGAGGGAGAGTGGGGGGTGGGAGAGCAAGGGAACCCATGTGTTTTTGTTCTTTTCTGTCTGCATTTCTCTTCTGTTTATTCCATCAATATTTTTGTGTGTCATGTGCTCCATATCTGTCTTTAATTCTATATCTGTGTTTTTATGTTTAATGATTTGTCTCTTTGTGTTTCTTTTATATCTAGATACTTTTAATTCAGGATGTGTGGAATTCAAAAAATTTTATGATAGTCATGGTGATACATACATACATACCTTAAGTCCAGCAGTCAGGCAGATCAATGTGAGTTCCAGGATAGCCAGGGCCAGAGGGAGAACCTATCTCAAACAAACAAAAACAATACTAAAACCTTTATCATGTCTGTATGCAAGCCATGGTGCATATGTAGAGGTCAGAGGACAACTTCTGGAAGGCCATTCTGGTTCTCCCTTTCTACCATGAAGGATCTAGTGTCAAACTCAGGTTTCCAGGCTTGGAGGAAGTATCTTTACCTGCTGAGCCATCTCACTGGTCCCAATTTATGGAATTCTAGAGCTTTAAAATAATGAAATAATTTCATGCTTGACTTTTACTTCTAAGTTTGGTTTAAAATTTCAGTTCCTGTTCCTTAAAAATAGGTAGCTCTGCAGCATGGGCTAGGGAGAGGTGCCCTCCTCCCCCAGTCAACACCTGAGGCAGGTGGGAGAGCTGGCCCTGCCCCTCATTAGCTGCAGCACTCAGGGAGAGTGGCCCACACCTCACGTAGGCAACACAGTAGAGCTGGCCCTGAAGGTGCAGGTGTGGGAGAACTGACCCTGAGGACATGAAGGTGGAGGTGTGGGAGAACTGACCCTGAGGACATGAAGGTGTAGGTGTGGGAGAACTGACCCTGAGGACATGAAGGTGGAGGTGTGGGAGAACTGACCCTGAGGACATGAAGGTGTAGGTGTGGGAGAACTGACCCTGAGGACGTGAAGGTGGAGGTGTGGGAGATCCGACCCTGAGGACTTGAAGGTGTAGGTGTGGGAGATCCGACCCTGAGGATGTGAAGGTGGAGGTGTGGGAGATCCGACCCTGAGGACATGAAGGTGTAGGTGTGGGAGATCCGACCCTGAGGACTTGAAGGTGTAGGTGTGGGAGATCTGACCCTGAGGACTTGAAGGTGGAGGTGTGGGAGATCCGACCCTGAGGACTTGAAGGTGGAGGTGTGGGAGATCTGACCCTGAGGACTTGAAGGTGGAGGTGTGGGAGATCCGACCCTGAGGACTTGAAGGTGGAGGTGTGGGAGAACTGACCCTGAGGACTTGAAGGTGGAGGTGTGGGAGATCCGACCCTGAGGACTTGAAGGTGGAGGTGTGGGAGAACTGACCCTGAGGACTTGAAGGTGGAGGTGTGGGAGATCCGACCCTGAGGACATGAAGGTGTAGGTGTGGGAGAACTGACCCTGAGGACGTGAAGGTGGAGGTGTGGGAGATCTGACCCTGAGGACATGAAGGTGTAGGTGTGGGAGAACTGACCCTGAGGACGTGAAGGTGGAGGTGTGGGAGATCCGACCCTGAGGACGTGAAGGTGGAGGTGTGGGAGAACTGACCCTGAGGACGTGAAGGTGGAGGTGTGGGAGATCCGACCCTGAGGACGTGAAGGTGGAGGTGTGGGAGATCTGACCCTGAGGACTTGAAGGTGGAGGTGTGGGAGATCCGACCCTGAGGATGTGAAGGTGGAGGTGTGGGAGATCTGACCCTGAGGACATGAAGGTGTAGGTGTGGGAGATCTGACCCTGAGGACTTGAAGGTGGAGGTGTGGGAGATCCGACCCTGAGGACTTGAAGGTGGAGGTGTGGGAGAACTGACCCTGAGGACTCTAAAGCAGGAGAACTGGCCCCGCCCCTTGCTCATCACTGCAAGGGATGAACTAGCCAGGGCAATGCAGGAGAGCTCACCCTGGTGGTCAGGACAGGAGAGCTGGTGGGCTGACCAACCCTGCAACTACCCAGAACCAGGGTTATGAGATAGCCTACCCCAACGTCCACCCCATCTGTGATCTGCTGGAGCACCTAGAGGGTGGGGAGCTTGGTCCTACAGACCCAGGACTGCAGGATCTTTACAACACAGGGCAGCAACAGGCTGTCCAGGAAGAGTCCCAGTGAGGGCCAGTGTCGATGGTGTAGCAGAGACTGGGGGCCTCCAACCAGACCAATGATTCTCTGCAGTGAATGCCTGCATATAAAAATGTATGAATAAAGGAGTTTACTGTGTGACTCACTCTGTCCCACTGCAGCTTCCATGACAATATTTTCCCCTTCTTCCTTTCTTTCCCTGCTTTTTCTCTTAAATTTTCTCTTGTTTTATTTTGGGGTGGGGAGGGAGATGGGTAGGATTGGGAAGCATGATATATGAAAGACACAAAGAATTTAAAAAGGGGAGGGAGCTTTGTGAGTGGAGACAGATTTAGAACTTGATGGCCATTCACTGTACCCAATCACAGAGCTGAGTTTCCTGAGAGACGGAGAGAGGAAGAGGCCCAAAGCCAATCTCTGGCCTCCACACTAGTGTGCACACAGAATATACTCTTAACTATTTATTTTTATTTCAATGTAGCAACTGAAAAATTTAAAATCAAATGTGGGAGCTGGAAGAACGGCTCAGCAGTTAAGAGCACTTGCTTTCTCAGAGGACCCAGGTTCAGTTCCTGTGTCAGGAGAGCCGCCTGGAACTCCAGTTCTAGTGGATCTGCTACCTTCTTCTGGCCTCTGTGGGCATTTGCACACATGACACACACATTTAAAAAATCTTTAAAAAAGTAAATACGGGGCTGGAGAGAGAGTGCAGCGCTGAAGAGCACTGGCTGCTCTTCCAGAGGACCTGGGTTCGATTCTTAGCACCCACATGGCAGCTCACAGCTGTCTGTAACTCCAGTTCCAGGGGATCTGATGCCTTCATGCCAATGCACATAAAATAAATTATTTTAAAAAAAGTAAACACATGGCTCATGAAGGGCTGGATGATGGGTTAGCATATAAAGCATTTGCCTTGCAAACAGGCAGTCCTTAGTTTGATCCCCAAAGCCCATTTAAAATGCTAGTGTGGTGGCTCATGTGTGTAGTCCAGAGCTGTGTATCCCTGGGGCTCTTTTGCCAGCCAGTCTGGCATAATTGGTGAACCTCGGGCCAACAACACTCTGTCTCAAAGGAGGTGGTCAGTGTTTCTGAGGAATAACTCTTGAAGCAATCCCCTGGCCTCCAGATGAGTACACATTACACACGTGTGCACCGGTGCACACACTCACAAACATGCACAAACATGTTACTAATTTCTATTGGATAATGCTGGTCCAAATGATAACTCTGATTGAAAACCTCCTTGTCTTTTTCTTTCTTGTTACCAGGGTAACAGAGAGGAAGCAGACAACCCAAACACAGGGATTGGTGCGTTCCGATTCATGCTGGAATCTAATAAGGGCAAGTCAATGCTGGAGTTCCAGGTACTGTCCCACCTGCTTCCCTGGCTCTAGTCACACAGGTCAGCCCGACGCACCAGCTAGTTATCTCTACCTCATTATTCTGAAAAAAGGTGGAGAGAAGGTGGTTAGATCATCAAAGTACAGTTACCTTTCTTCTCCCAAGTTACACCAGAGTTCATTACATGTTAGATGCTTCCACAGGTACATTTTATAAAAAGTTCCCCATTTGACTCTGATGCGGTCTAACTTAAAATCACTATCCTGATGGTATTAGCCAGGATTCTCTGGAGAAACAGAACAGATAGAACATGTGTTCCTCTCACACACAGTTTATTAGAATGGCTTGTAGGCTGTGGTCTGATTTTTCCAAACAAAGGCTGTCTCTAGGAATCCAGTAGCTGTTCAGTCCTCCAGGCTGGATGTCTTAGCTGGTCTTCAGTATATACCAGAATCCCAAAGAAGTGGGCTGTAATACCAGTGATGGAATGGACTTGCTGTGAAAGAAAGTTTCCGTCTTCCGTTTCCTTTATATGGGCTGCCACAAGTGTGGCCCAGGTTTGAGGGAGGTGTGTGTGTGTGTGTGTGTGTGTGTTCCCACTTCAAATGATCCAATCAAGAAAAGAACCTCACAGTGTACCCAGCAGCTTGGGGTTTAGTTAATTCCAGGTGTTATCAAGTCAACAACCAAAATTAGCCATTACACTGGTATTTCCTATCTTCTTCCCTCAGGAGCTAATGACAGTTTTTCAGCTGCTGCACTGGAATGGCAGCCTTAAGGCCATGAGGGAAAGACAGTGCTCTCGACAGGTAAGAGTCAGCTGAGGGAAAAGGGCAGAAGAGCTGCCTTGGGCTGTGTTAAGCGGCTGCCAGGCTGTAACTACTGAAGGCCTTATTTCAGAATTCTCTTTGCTCTTTCATTCTTTTGGTTTTGTAGTTGTTTTTTTTTTTTTTTTTTTGGTTTTTCAAGACAGGGTTTCTCTGTGTAGCTTTGCGCCTTTCCTGGAACTCACTTGGTAGCCCAGGCTGGCCTCGAACTCACAGAGATCCGCCTGGCTCTGCCTCCCGAGTGCTGGGATTAAAGGCGTGCGCCACCACCGCCCGGCTGGTTTTGTAGTTTTTTGAGACAGGGTTTCTCTGTGTAGCCTGGGCTATCCTGGAACTCGCTCTGTAGACCAGGCTAACCTTGAACTTGAGATCCACCTGCCTCAGCTTCCTGCAGGCGCCAGCCTGTTCTTGTATTCTTTGCTCTCTGCATGCCACTGTGGTCCTTTCACCTCCTTCCCGACTGTAGTTCCCTTACAGAACCCTCTGGCTGAATCGGGCTTGGCAGCTCCCACCTCTAATCCCAGCACTTAGGAGGCAGTTCCATGCAGCTAGTGCTAAATAGTGAGACCCTGTCTCAAAACAAAACAAACTACCCCCCCTTGGCCTCTCTGTTCCCTAGCTGCCATGACATGAACTAGTCTGTTCCCTCATGATGAGCAGTCAACTCTGAAACTGTCACACTCTGGGTGTCTTTCTCACTGAGAAGCAGGAAGGACCAAGTCTATCACATTAACATAATTTTGCCAAGTTATGGGCATTTCCACAGACCCTTGAGCAAGTGTTCATGGTGACTTGAGACAGCGTGCTGAGGTTTTCACACATTCAGGAGATTTTGTTGTTTTTAAAAGATGACCACATTTCCCACCTCAGTCAAACACCCGCACGCTGCTGGGGCACTGGAAGGGGTTGCCTGCCCCTGAGCTCTGAGCCCTGGCTGCTGTCTGTGCACATATTCACCTCCCCCCACTTCTTAGTTACTCAAACTCTTATAACACAGGGGCAAACAAATCTTTGTAGGTCACGTGCTAACTTCAGTTCAGACATCAAGGCTAATTGCGGTGACTGTGCTATATACTGTGTATGACATGTGCCTGTCTGTTGGGGTTACTGTGCTATATGGTATGTATGACTGACTCATCTTTACCATTGGGGTCCCTGTGCTCTATGTTTTTACCTTCTCAGTGATCTTTGCATTCCTCTCTCTGACCAGGAGGTGTTGGCTCATTATTCACACCGGGCCCTGGATGATGATATTCGCCACCAGATGGCTCTGGACTGGGTGAGCCGGGAGCAGAGTGTGCCGGGGGCACTGTCTAGGGAGTTGGCCTCCACTGAACGGGAGCTGGATGAAGCCCGGCTGGCGGGCAAGGAGCTGCGCTTCCACAAGGAGAAGAAAGACATTCTCATGCTGGCTGCGGGGCAGCTGGGCAATATGCACTCCTCCAGCTGCTGAGCATCTGCTGCCCTCTATTGCCATGCTCTTCAGTCCTTTTTTGTATGTCTCCTTTCTAAGGCGTAGGATGATTTCTGTATATACTTTCTCAATTTTATACTTTAAAATATAGAGAGATATATATGTATAAATTCTATACCTGGATTCCTATTTGCTGAGATCCCTTTTCTAACTTCCAGTTTGGGGATGTAGTTACCTTTGCAGTATCACTGTTTCATTTTAGAGCTTTGTTGACTTTTCAACCTTCAAATTAAGGATGTAATTCATTTCAGTAGTACAGTACAATTTACTAAGCGTTCATGTCTCTCTTTCTTAAAATAGCAGCTCGTCAGGCAGTGGTGGCGCACACCTTTAATGGCAACACTTGGGAGGCAGAGGCAGGTGGTTCTGAGTTTGAGGCCAGCCTGGTCTACAGAGCAAGTTCTAGGACAGACAGAGCTGTTACAACAGAGAAACCCTGTCTCAAAAAACCAAAAACTAAAACAAAACAAAGCAGTCAGGTGTGATGGCTCATAGCTGTAATAATCTCTGCACTCAGCAGTCTGAGACAGTATTGCTGTGAATATGAGGCCGGCCTGCACGACACAGTCAGTTGCAGGTCAACATGGGCTACAGTGTCTCAGATGTTCTCAAAGCCCTCCTCTCCTACATATAAAACAACAGCTGGAATAAGGAGTATGTGCCCCACTTCATCCACGATCCTGCTTTCTCTAGACGGAACCAGGGTGAGTGTGGAGCCTTTGGCTTGAGGTGGGCCTTCTGATACTCCTTTCCTGCTTACTCTCCTCCTTCCTTGCCTCCAAAGGCTCCTTTGTTTAGGGGCTTCCCTACCTTATCCAGAAGGAACAGGAGATCTGGCTTCTTTTTGGCTGGCCTGGAACTCATTCTGTAGACTAGGAGGGCGTCATATTAGTGGCAATATTCCTGCTGAGATTATAGGCATGGGTCACCATGCCTGACCTGGTTTTTATTTTGAAGTCTCTCCTGAGAAACTGCCCAAGAACAAGAGAATTATAAATCCAATCCACATGGAGGGTGGGGGGCAGCAATGAACTGCTTCTGGCTTCTCGATACCCTTCCAGCAGTCGAGATTTCTGGATGTAAGAAGAGGGTGAGGGGTCAGCAGACCTTTCCCCACCATTCCCTGCTCACCATACTTAGTAAAGATGCACACACTTTTCCCATTTCATTTTGTTTATGTAGCCCAGGCAGGCCTCAAACTCTCCTTGTAGCCTAGAATGACCTCCAAGTCCTGAGCCTGCTGCATCCACCTCCCATGTGCTAGGATTACAATGGAACACCTCAGCTGCCTTAACCCCTCCTTCAGTGACTGGAAGAAGCATTTTGCTCTTTAGAAACTGTATCTGTTCTGTTTAGTGAGAACCATGTTCCTCTCAGGCCCACTGAGCTGTGCTGTTTACTCTTAAATGTTACACCTTAGCTTCTCACTTCCTGTGCCTTCCTTCTTTTCCTCCACATGGACTGTGAGAACAGGAGTTGATGAAACTTGGATGAGAACGTGGTTCTTCCTAAGTGGGACCATGGAAGTGAGCAAGAGAGGAAAGAGAACTGGTACTTGTGTGTGAAGAGAGAAATGACCAGGATGAGAGGCAGAGTTCTGTACTTCTGGGTAATTTCATGTAGGAAGCTCCAGCTCCCCCTTGTTGCTGTGATCTCTGCTATACTGCATTAGTGTTCAGTGCCCTTTCTATCATTATACTGCTACTGCAATTTGACTTCCCACTTAACAGTTGCAGTTTGCTTTTAGATTAGGAACTAGGCCTGACCTAGTGATGCAGGTCTGTCATCCCAGTTACTCTGGAGGCTCAGGCACGAAGGTCAGAAATTCAAGGTCCATCCCAGGTAGAGTGAGTTCAGAGGCAACCTGGGTAACTTAGCAAGACTGCTTCAAAAACAGGATGTGAAAACAGGGCTGGGGATAGAGCTTAGTGTGGTAGGGTTTGACTGGCGTGGGAGGGCCCAATTCAATCTCTACTGCAGAAAGAGTGGTGGTTGGGGGGAGCAGGAGATCTGGAGGGAAGAGGGGAGAGAGGGAGTAGACTAGACCAGTTAGCTCACTTAGGAGGAGCAAGGTGCAAAGCAGCTTTCTTGCTTTTGAGATCATCTTTGTGACAAGAACACATGGGATCAGCTAGCGAGTCCAGTGACAACAGTGTCGGTCAGTGCTTAGAAAGGGTCCCTTGATTCCCAGCCTGCCTCTTTATTTCAGAAAGCACACTGGTTTGGATTAGAGGCCCCCACATTGCATGGTAGGTGTGTCTGTTTTAAACTGGTATATATAACCCAGAAGTGACGAGCCATCCCATTTCTCCTGGACTCCTTTCTTTGTGTAAGACGTATTAAGGGGTATGAGCTTGGGGAAGAATTGTCCTTGTACCTCCTGGATTCATTGTCTTTCTCAAAAACTCATGACTCCAAAGAACATGAGAAAAATCGTTCTGTCCACTTTTGATGTTGAAGATTTTAGTTATCTTTTTGGTACTTTCTATGTATTTTATATGTAAAATTTTACACAATTAAAAATGGGTTGTCCAGTAAGCCAGAATGACTTTTTCCCCGTGATAGGACCACATGTAGTTCCAACCTGCTGTGTGTCTGAAGCTAGCCTTGAGTATTGACTACTTCATCCCCCTACCTCCACTTCCCAAATAATGAGATCAGGGCCATGCGCCACTCAGCCTGATGGTTGTTTTTTCCTGTCTGGTTTTTCGAGACAGGGTCTTACTGTGGAGCCATAGATGGCCCCAAACTCGCAACGGTTACCTTTCTGCCTCTGTTGCCAGAATCTGGAATTACAAGCACGTGTCACATCCTGCCGGAATGACTGAGGCAGTTTATCAAAGGAGCTCTAACTTGGCCTCATGCACCCACACCTACACCGACAAAGGTTTTGAGGCTGGTGGGAACAAGATCATACTGCTGAGGGAAAGCAGCTGCCCCCCTTCTCCAAAGAGTGAAGGAGCCTGGATTTTGCCCATGGCCCTTTCTCAAGCTCATTCCCACTATGGCAATTTAAACTCTATCCGTATGATTCGCAAATATATTTCTTCCATCTCAACTTGTTTTGAGCTTTGATATCTGTATTTCTGCACACTGGCCATCACCATCCAGACACAACAGAAACGCTGTGGATTCACATATCCGAGATGAAACCCGTTTCTCCACACTGGCGTCTCCCCGACGTCCTAGATCAACTGCAGAATTATTATTCACCTAGTTCTTTAAGGTCCTCCTCCTCCTCCGTCACCATCCGATCAGTCACTGCCTGTTGAGGCCGCACTCTCTATGAACCCCAATCTGTTTCCTGCTTTATTCAGTCCTTCGTCACATCTGAACCAGACCACGGCAGTAGCTTTCCAACTGACCTCTGCGTTCACTCCTGTTCTTCGCCTTCTTTAAACTGTCGTTGAGCTGTTTCTACCTGTAACAGCATTTCCCAGTTTTATATGTGAGCCTGAATAACAGCATTTCCCAGTTTTATATGTGAGCCTGAATAACAGCATTTCCCAGTTTTATATGTGAGCCTGAATAACAGCATTTCCCAGTTTTATATGTGAGCCTGAGGTAAAATAAGGCAGGAAAAAACAACTATTAGATACTGATTTATTGGTGGCTTACTTAGAGCACTGCTTGTACTGCCTATTTGCCAATCATGACTTCATTTGCTACCTGAACAGAATGACCTGGAGAAATAGCCAGAACAATGGGTCATTGCCCTAACAACCTGCTGACTGCCTGTACACTTCTGTAAAGTCTTGCTTGCTTGGCTGCCCCATTTGTGGCTTTAGAGTATAAAATGAGAGTACAAACTGGACCTGGGATAGAAGCCTTTCGGGAGCTGTGCTGGCTTCAGTCCATCGCCGACATCTCCTCTCTCCCACTCTCAATGGTGTTGAAATGCTTATTCTATAAAGATTCAACATTGTATTCTTCAACAAGCTCTTGATGTCAGCCGAGATGATTTTAGTGGTAGATGGACCAACTCATTAAAAAAACAAACCACCACCAACATTCTCAAGTATTTCAAGCTGGTCTTGAACTCTTGGTTTATCGGAGGATGACCTTGAACTTCTGAGCCTCCTGCCTCTGAGAGCTAGGATTACAGGCATGCATCATCATACTAGGTTTATGTGGCCCTTGGGGCCAACACAAGGCTTTTTATATTATATTTTTGTGCAAATTTACTGTAGAAAATCTTGCTTTTCTACTTATAGTAGTAGTGATTAAATGTCCTTTTAGGGTAAATTTATGTTTTAAAGATCTGTTTAAGGAAAAAATGCCAAGCAAAAATAATGTAGAAGCTATGGGGGAGGGAGGTATTTCCAAATGTTAAAAGTCATAAATATAGGGCTGGAGGAGAGATTGCTCAGAGGTTAAGAACCCTTGCTGCTCTTGTGGAAGACCTGAGTTGGGTTCCTAGCACCTCTACTGGGCAGTTCACAACAGCCTGAAACTCCAGCTCCAGGGGATCTGATATCCTCCTCTGGCCTCTTCAGGCAACGGTACTCAGGTTCCACCACCACACAGACACAAATAAGGCAGGGTCGAGGTGGCTCATGCTGAGGCAGGCAGCTAGAGCTTTGTGGGTTCAAGGCCAGCCTAGTCCATATCGATTTCCCGGCCACTCAGGACTACATAATGAGACTTGTCTTAAATAAATAAATAAATCTTTTTTTTTTTTCTCTTCAGAGCTGAGGACCGAACCCAGGGCCTTGCGCTTGCTAGGCAAGTGCTCTACCACTGAGCTAAATCCCCAACCCCTAATAAATCTTAAAAAAAAAAAAAAAAGAAAGAAAGAAAAAGAAAAAGAAGAAAAAGAAAAAGAAAAATATGAACACTCAAAATATTTTAGGAGAAATTTCTTATTTTAGGATTAAACTGCAAAAATCCTTAGCATGGCAATATGATCCTAAGCTGCCATTTATACATTTACTTCCCAGTCACATAACTTTAAGCATACAGAATTCCTTTTCATTCTGAAATTCATCAATTTCTTCTTTACCAGTTATAGTTCTGAAGATAATTAAATACAAAGAAGAATCTTTACTATTAAAGATTACATTATAGCCGGACGGTGGTAGCGCACGCCTTTAATCCCAGCACTCGGGAGGCAGAGCCAGGCGGATCTCTGTGAGTTCAAGGCCAGCCTGGGCTACCAAGTGAATTCCAGGAAAGGCGCAAAGCTACACAGAGAAACCCTGTCTCGAAAAACCAAAAAGAAAAAAAAAAAAAAGGATTACATTATAATGGGGGAAAAATAGTCCATAAACAAGCTAAAAACAAAACAAGGCAATTAAACATCCTTTTTTAAATTCTAAGAAGGAAAGAAGCAGGAAAGGATGATAAGAATGCCTTCAGGTGACAGTATTGAACCCTAAAGGATGAGGCTGAACCAAAGACCTGGAGGAATAGCATCAGGATGGAAGGCTATCAAGCATTGTTGAACTGCAGCATTCCAATAAATTCCCATCTATCTACCTATCTGTCTATATATAGAGGGGGTGGTCCAGGCCAGCTAAGGACACATAGTGAAACCCTGTTTTGTTTTTTTGTTTGTTTGTTTGTTTGTTTGTTTTTTGAGGCAGGGTTTCTCTGTGTAGTTTTGGTGCCTGTCCTGGATCTCACTCTGTAGACCTGGCTGGCCTCAAACTCACAGAGAACCACCTAGCTCTGCCTCCAGAGTGCTGGGATTAAAGGCGAGTGCCACCGACGCCTGGCATAAAACCCTGTCTTTTTGTTTTTCGTTTTGTTTTTTCGAGACAAGGTTTCTTTGTGTAGCTTTGCGCTGAGATTAAAGGTGTGCACCACCACCGCCTGGCTGAAACCCTGTTTTTAATAGGAGATTCATTCCATAAGTTCTGTGTGTGACTCTAGAGAACTCTGACAATTCAGAAATGGAAGGCACACTTGTGAGAGATTTTTCTGCTTGGTTTAAAGTGGGTGAATCCACTTCTAGTCCGGACCTTTGAGGAAGGAGGACACAGAGCTTTGATCCCTATCATGAGGTGGGAAGACACACCTCTAATATGGTCCACACCTTCTGCTGGAGGACACAGACAAAGGAAGCTTGTGCTCTTGGCCTGCTTGCACATCCATTCCTTCACTGGCATTAGAGCCAATTGCTTGGGAATTCCAGTATATGCAGAAGACCAACAGAGACACCCAGGTTCTGGGACTGGGCAGCCACTAGATTCTTGGACTTCCTATTCACAGCTAACCACTGTTGGATTAGCTGGACAGCAGCCTGTGAGTCATCCCAATAAATATGTATGTGTGTGTGTGTGTGTGTGTGTGTGTGTGTGTGTGTGTGTGTGTAGAGAGAGAGAGAGAGAGAGAGAGAGAGAGAGAGAGAGAGAGAGAGAGAGAGAAATATTGAGGCTCATTCCGTAAGTTGTGACTAGAGAACCCTAATACACCATACAACCTTCAAGGATGTTGCAGCTGCTCTTCTAAGGTTCTGGTGCCTCCTTTGTGCCATGCTGGGGAAGATACCCCAGGTTTCATTACTACTACTATAAACATACTTATCAGTTAAGCTACATTCTCAGCTCCAAGAGACTTACCTTTAAAAAAAAAAAAATTGAAGCCAGGTGTGGTGGGGCACACCTTTAATCTCACCACTCCAGAGGCTGAAGCAGACAGACCTCTGTGTCTGAGGCCAGCCTGGTCTACAATGAGACTTTCAAAACAACAAAAATTTGCATCTGCCTGGTCAATCAGATTTCAACTGTCCTCATCTACTAGTTTTTCTTTTCAGTTTTTCAAGACAGGCTTTCTGTAGACGAAATTCTAAACGGTCTTATTAAATAAGAAAACACGGAAAGGGGGGGAAATTAAAAAAAATTAAAAACAAAAAAAGAAAACACAGAGCCAAATATACCGAGTTAAAAGCCCAAGAGATTAGAGGGCTAGCAAATAGCCTTTAGCTTACCAGTCGCTGCCGTTCTGAGAGAGAGAGAGAGAGAGAGAGAGAGAGAGAGAGAGAGAGAGAGAGAGAGAGAGAATAGGAAACAAAGCTACGCGTTCTGGCTAAAAGCTGAAATCCAGCCATGTGCTCTTGCTTGAGACGATTTGGGCCTGAGCTCAGGCTTCCTTAAGCTCTGGCCAAACCAGGGCTTGAAACCCCTGGCCTGTGAGGACACCAACGGTTTTTAATGAATTCTTGCCACATCTGGCGCCCAACGTTCGTGGTACGAATTCAAGAAAAAGCTGCTTGCCTGTGGCCTTGCGGGCCCAGCTACACTCGGCCAGTTATGGTGGCACTCACACCTTTAATCCTAGCATTCTGGAGGCAGAGATTCATCCAGATTATCTGTGAGTTCAAAGCCACACGCCTTTAATCCCAGGAAGTGACGGCAGGAAGCAGAAAAGTATATAAGGCGTGAGGACCAGGAACTAGAGCTAGTTAAGCTTTTAGGCTTTTGAGCAGCAGTTTGGCTAAGATCCATTTAGATGAGGACACAGAGGCTTCCAGTCTGAGGAAACAGGATCAGCTGAGGAATTGGTCAGGTGAGGTTAGCTGTGGCTTGCTCTGCTTCTCTGATCTTCCAGCTTTAACCCAATACCTGGCTCTGGGTTTGATTTTATTAATTAGACCTTTTAAGATTGTGCTACTGGTTTCTCTATGTAGCCCAGGCTGGTCTCAAACTCAGAGATTCACCTGCCTCTGCCTCCCAAGTGCTGAGATTAAAGGCATGGCCTGTCTACTAGTTTTCCTAAGATTCTGTACCAGGGGCAGCTTTTGAATTGGTAATGTTGATTTAATTTTTTTTAATGCTTCCTATAAAGATTGGATTTTGTTTTCTTATGCTTTAAGTTACTTTTTAGTCTTAATTTTTAACATTTACTTATTTGCATATATATGCGTGTGTTTATGTCATGTGCGAAGGCAGGCATGTAGAGGTCAGAGGACTACTTGAAAAGTCGTTTCTTTCCTTCCACCGTGTGGGTGCTAGGGACCGTACTCAGGGTATCAGACTTAGTAGCAACAGCTTTTTCCTAACCCTCGTTGTTTGAGATTAAAAACAAAAATTTAATTCAACTTCCATTTCCTCGCAGGAGTGGGAAGAAGGAAAGCAAGACTCTAATAAGGAAATCAACACGGCTTTATAAGGATTTCTTGTTAGTTGAAGGTTTTAAGAGAAAGCCAATGACTTCACTCACCCTTCGAATTTGTCCCAGCGCGGAAGCGCTTGCGACCGGCACCATTTTATTTTATTTTATATTTTTTGAGATAGGGTCTCACTCTGTAGCCTTAGAGCTTGGCATGGTGGCACACGCCTTTAATCCCAGCAAGTGGAAGTCGGAGGCAGGATCTCTATGACTTCGAGGCCAGCCAGGGCTACTTAGACTCTGTCTCAAAACAAAACACGCCAAACTATGTTGCCTTGGCTGGCCTGGAACGCACCATGGTGACTATGATGGCCTCGAACTCAAAGTGATCCACCCGTGCTTCCGAACTGGGATTAAAAGCGCGCAGGCACGCCAGATTTCCAGTTCCACTTTTTTTTTTTTTTTTTTTTTTTTTTTTTTGGTTTTTCGAGACAGGGTTTCTTGTTTCTCTGTGTAGCTTTGTGCCTTTCCTGGAACTCGCTCTGTGGATCAGGCTGGCAGAGATCCGCCTGCCTCTGCCTCCGAGTGCTGGGATTAAAGGCGTGCGCCACCTCCGCCCGGCTCCAGTTCCACTTTTAAGTAGAGCCGCCTGCATCGGAGAGTTTTCACCAGGCCGAGGGCGGGACTTGGAGCCAATCATTGATTGGTTAGCCTGACTGGTGACGTCTCCCCTCCTTTGATTGGTTAGCCTGACTGGTGACGTCTCCCCTCCTTTGATTGGTTAGCCTGACTGGTGACGTTTCCCCGCTGCGACAGTTTCCCGAGGTGCCTTGCTCTTAGCGGCACAGACGAGAGCTGTGAGAGAAGCAAGATGGCGGACGTGCTGGATCTTCACGAGGCTGGGGGCGAGGATTTCGCCATGGATGAGGATGGGGACGGTGAGGAGAGTGGAGGCGGCTGCGGGAAGAGGGGAAGGAGCGAAAGAGGAATGCAGTAGGGGACTATTTCCTGGGATGCGGGCCCACGAACTGGGTCTCGACTAGAGAGACTCCGCCCCCTTGGGGGAAGGCATTAGGGGCGGAGCCGGGAAGGGGCCCAAGCCAGAGTCCCTGTTTTATGCTTCCAGATAGTCTTGGGAACGAGACAGTTTTTTTTTTTTTAAATGACTCTTATTTTTGTTGCTTATTTTCTCATCTGGAACGCTAGAAAGCATCCATAAACTAAAAGAAAAAGCGAAGAAACGGAAGGGCCGCGGCTTTGGGTCCGGTGAGTGTGGGGAACAGGGTAGAATGGTCTACTTGGGGTCCGAGGGGAACATATTTGAAGAACGGTTTTCGGTGATCTGGTATGTGTTCTTTTAGAAGAGGGGTCCCGAGCGCGGATGCGAGAGGATTATGACAGTGTAGAGCAGGATGGCGACGAACCTGGACCACAACGCTGTAAGTAAATCGGACTTGTGGGAAGTCTCTGTGTATTGACAATTAAATGGGAATAAAGTAAAGTAAAAGAGATTAGCCAATCTCAGGAGTCCAGTCATTAACTACTGTAATTTTGCTTAGAGTTCTTTTTTTCTTAAACCCGCCCTTGCTGTACTAGAACTCTTTTTAGACCAGGCTGGCCAGGAACTCACAGAGATACGCCTGCCTTTGCCTCCCAAGAGTGCTGGGAATAAAGGTTCGTGCCACCATACCTGACCTTTTTTTAGTTTTTTGACAGTCTTACTATGTAGCCTTAGCTGACTTGGAACTTGCTCTGTAGACCAGGCAGGCCTGGAACTCAGATCTGCCTACCTCTGCCTCCTGAGTGCTGGGCTTTTTATCTTAGGTCCTCATACAACACCCTCCCTTACCCAACAGCTGTTGAAGGTTGGATTCTCTTTGTCACTGGAGTCCATGAAGAAGCCACTGAAGAAGATATCCATGACAAATTCGCTGAATATGGGGAAATAAAAAACATCCACCTTAACTTGGACAGGCGTACAGGATACTTGAAGGTAGATTTTCTGCTTCCTTCCTTCATAACTCTTAGATACATTGGTGATTGTTTTGTATTTGTTGTGGTTGGCCAAGAACAGGGATTAAGTGAATGATACTGGAAATTGATTTTGTTACCCACAAGAAAGAGATGAAAACAAAATGGGCATGCTGTGTGTATAATTGATTTACTTTTCACTGTATGGAGCTGGTAAATTTTTCTGTTAAAGATGCAGTTCAGGTTTAAGGAAGAGGGTGCTTGATGGTTGGTGAGGTAAACTTTTGATACTTTCATGTTTTCCCCAGGGGTATACTCTAGTGGAGTATGAAACATACAAAGAGGCTCAGGCTGCCATGGAGGGACTCAATGGTCAAGATTTGATGGGACAGCCAATCAGTGTCGACTGGTGTTTTGTTCGGGGTCCACCAAAGGGCAAGAGGAGGTAAAATGGAGGGGACAAACCTTTATTTTGGTGAAGGGAGCAGAGAAGATAAATAAGGATTTTGTGACAGGGTGGTGGCGGCAGCGCATGCCTTTAATCCCAGCACTTGGGAGGCAGAGGCAGGCAGATCTCTGTGAGTTCCAGGCCAGCCTGGGCTACAGAGTGAGTTCCAGGAAAGGCGCAAAGCTACACAGAGAAACCCTGTCTCCAAAAAACAAAAAGAAATAGTAATAATAATAAGAGTTTTGTATTGTCTCTCTGATGGATCTCCCTCCTTCTTCATTTCCTTAGAGGTGGCCGAAGACGAAGCAGAAGTCCAGACCGGAGACGTCGTTGATAGATCTTCTGTTGACCAGGTGGTCTCGCCACGAGTCCATTTGGTTGTGCTGCCTTGCATAAATAGGGTTAGGGTAGAACTTGTGTTTATATTTAATAACTTACCCTATCTACTTAGTATTGCTTTGAGTTAAAAAAAAAAATAAATGTTTCATTTTGTTTTCTACATTTAAAATTATTTTAGTGTTCTGAAGACTGAAGAATTATTTAGAGTAGGCATGCTGAGTCATTGGGAAATACTTCTGTCTGGAGTCCAATTCTGAGTTTCTAGGAAGGCTCAGGTAGAGACTCTGCTCATCATTTCTTTTCTTAGAATGACAAGAGAGCAGGGGTAGTGAGATTTTTTATGGCATTAGGGAATGATTCCTCCGTACTCTTACTAGCACGTATTATATTAGTGCTTCTTGTGCTTCTCTGTCACATAGTCTTGTATAGCCCAGGATAATCTTAAACTCACTGTGTAGCCCAGGATGGCCTTGATCTTCTGATACTTTGCCTCTGTCTTCCAGGTACTGAGATTCCAGGCATGGGCCACCATATCCAGTTTATGTGGTCCCTAAAATTAATGGGGCCTTTGAGCCTGCTCAGCCAGCTCCACCTTGAATATGGTGCTGAACATGAAGTTTGTTAAGTTCTACAACCAAACCCAGCTTGAGTACTTTATCATGGCCTTTTTTTTTTGTTTGGTTTGGTTTTGTTTTTTTTTTGAGACAGAGTTTCTCTGTGTAGCTTTGCGCCTTTCCTGGAACTCACTCTATAGCCCAGGCTGGCCTGAACTCACAGAGATCTGCCTGGCCAACTTTGGAATTTTTTATTTGTTTGTTTTGAAGTCTGTGGGTCACTGTGTCACTGTGGTTCACATTGGCCTTATACTTGAGATAATCCTCAGTGCATAATGGCAAATATTAAACTTAACATTTTTTTCAAATGTTACTGGCTGCCTTTTCCTTCCTTTTGATAAATTGCTGGGGGTTTTGGATTGAATTGGTTAAGAATATATTTTAGTAGCTGGGCAGTGGTGGGCACCCCTTTAATCCCACCACTTGGAGAGGCAGAGCCAGGTAGATCTCTGAGTCCAAGGCCAGCCTGGTCTACAGAGCAAGATCCAGTACAGGCACCAAAACTACACAGAGAAATCCTGTCTCAAACAAAAAAAAAAATGTTTTAGTTTAGATTTTCAGGGTTAGGGTGCCTTGGTTCTTTCTGGTAATGTGGACTGAATAACTATTAGTTTGGTAAAACATTTCTAGATAGTCTGAAATATTTGAGAGAGTGAGTTGAGAAAGCAAGAGAGACTTCAGGAAAATAGTATCAGCCAGAGAGACATTAGATGAACCACTGGGATATGACCTGGCTATTTTGAATTAGTTGAGAAGATCCTCTTCTATCTTATATACTTGTGTTTTTGGATGCTCTTTTTGTTTGAGGAATATAAAAATAGCTCATAAAGGGGTAGGGATGTTGGTAGATTGCCTGTCTAGTATGCACAAGCCCTGGTTTTTGTTCATCCAACTCACATCCAATGGACATGGTGGTTCCTGCCTGTAATCATAGCACTTACGTGAGTGGTGAAGGCTGAAGAATCCAGTTGGTTCACCCTTAGCTACATTCCCAGTTGGAGGTCAGCCTGGGTTATATAAGAGCTTGTCTTTGGGGAGAGGAGGTGGGAAGAAGGGAAACTCACTGTGTGGTCTTCTAACTTTCCGTTCTCCTACAGAACTTAGCCAAGTGTTGTAGAAACCCTCCTTTTAACTACTACAACTTAGAAACTTGGCGCTTACAGAAAGAAGTCATTTTGTGCTATTTGTAATGTCATTCTTTACACCATAAAAATTTTTACATTTATTTTTATTTATGTGTGTCTGAATGTATGTTAGGTGTCCCAGTAGTTTTTTTTTTTTTTAATTTAGTTATGTAATTTATGTGTGTTTTGTCTGCATGTGTGTTTGTACATCACATGTGTGCCTGGAAGTGTCAAAACAGGGCTCCAGATCCTCTGGGACTGGGGCTACAGATGGTTGTGAGCTGCCATGTGGGTGCCCAGATTGAATCTATATCCTCAGAAAGTAGCCAGTGCTCTTAAGCACTGAGCCAACTCTCCAGCCCTAGGTGTCTTTTTAATAATAGGTGGTAGAGATCTTGTCTATAACATTGCTGTAATTTTTTTTCCTGCCTTAGAACTATAGTCAGGCTTTTTTGCTACACCTACTGCTACGTTTTAGGCAGGGTCTTAACACTAATTATATCAGGCTAGCCTGGGTCTTACTCCATTTCCCTCCAGTGCTGGGTTGTTGAGGTAACAGGTGCAGACCAGCTGGCCGGGCTTGTTTTACATTTCTGATACTTTTTTTTAAAGATTTATTTATTATGTACACAGAAGAGGGCGCCATATCTCATTATAGATGGTTGTGAGCCACCATGTGGGTGTTGGGAATTGAACACAGAACCTCCTGAAGAGCAGTCGGTGCTCTTAACCTCTGAGCCATCTCTCCAGCCCCACATTTCTGATACTTTATGATTGGAGGATGACATCTTTTGTAAAGACAGGTTCTTGCTATGTCACCCTGGTTGACCTGAAACTCATGACAGACTAGGCTGGCCATGAACTTGTGATCCTCCTGCCTCTATCTCCAGAGTGCTGGGATTATAGGCATATACCACAATGCCTAACTAATCTTAGTAGCTATAAGTTAGAGTAAAAATCACAAGCCAAGTCTGTCACTCTCCACCCTTTAGTGTGTCTCCTCTTACCTTAGGATAAACACAAACTCTGACCTAGCCCACCTTTCCTCTCTACACATTATCCATTTTCTAGTCCTCAACTTCAGGAGTAACTTCTGAAACCCACATTTACTTATTTTAACATCTTTCTGTCTTTCAAGAATTAAATTTTACCTCAATTTCCCCGATTTGAAGAGTGGGTTACATACACATTCCATTCTTTAACTCCTAATGTGGCTGGGCATACCAGGCAGGAAGTTCCCATAAGTACCTGGAGCATTTTAGTATACTCAGAGTTGATGGACATTATTTCATTAATGGAATGAAAACCACAAAATTTAACGCCGGGCGGTGGTGGCGCACGCCTTTAAGCCCAGCACTCGGGAGGCAGAGGCAGGCGGATCTCTGTGAGTTCGAGGCCAGCCTGGGCTACCAAGTGAGTTCCAGGAAAGGCGCAAAGCTACACAGAGAAACCCTGTCTGAAAAAAAAAGAAAAAGAAAAAGAAAAGAAAACCACAAAATAAAAATTTAACCCAAAGCACTAGACTTTTAAAAAAAAAAATTCATGTGTATGTGTTTTGCTTTACATGTTTGCCTGTGTATCATGTGCATACCTGGTACCTACTGAGATTAAAGGAGGTGTTAGATCCCCTGGAACTGGAGTTACAGATGGTTGTGAGCCATCATGTGTGTCCTGGGGATTGAACCCGGGACATCTCCAAGAACAAGTGCTCTTTGAGTCCACTCTAGCCAGACTTCATTCTTTTCCTTTTTTTTTTTTTTTTTTTTTTTGTGACAGGGTTCCTCTGTGTTGCCCTAGCTATCCTGGAACCTGCTCTGTAGACCAGGCTGGCCTTGAACGCAGAGATCCACCTGCTTCTTCTGCCTCCTGAGTACTGGGATTAAAGGTGTGTGCCACTGTGCCCACTGACTTTGTTCTTAGTAGACCTGTAAAATGTCTTTCCCTGTCCTGAAGTTTTTCTGTACCAGTATCCTAGAAAGGTGGGACAGGAGGGATGCAAAGAGGTGGAAATCAAGCACTCAAAGCCAGCCTGAGGAAAGAGATCCGGATGCAGATACTAGGGTACTGCTTTTAAATAATTGTATTTTACACGTGTGAATGTCCGTTTGAAGTGTGTATGTGAACCACGTGCATTCCTGGTACCCATGGAGGCCAGAAGAGAGCATCTCCTGGAACTGGAGCTAGGGACAGTTGTGAGCAGCCATATGCATCCTGGGAATTGAACCCCAGTGCATGGCAAGAGCAGTAAGCACTCTTAACCACCAAGCTAGTGCCCCTTCACTTAAAAAAAGTCAGGGTCTCAAAAATGATTTAAATGAAAAAAAAAAGTCAGAGTCTCAATATGTAGATCTGGCTGGACTGAATGGAGCTGTGTAGATAAATTAAGATGGCTTTAAACTCTGGTCTGCATCTGCCTCTGCCTCCTAAGTGTTGGAATTACAGGTGTTTGCCATCACATCCAGCAAAATGTAGGTCTCTAGCATGTAAATGATCTTCCCAGGAGATAGCAGAGGCTCCCTCCCTGAGCATCCAAGGCTAGTAGCCTGCAAAGCATGCTGTGGGGTAACCTAGTGTGCAGCCAAGTTCCTGTGCAGCCCTGACAACTCACCTGAGTGAGGCAAGCAAGGTTCCCCCCATACGTCTCATTTACACTTGTTCACACTCTGCACTTGAGCGCTGGGTTAAAGCGGCTTGAGTACTGCTCCATGGCAGGAAAGCTATCCACATGGCAATTAGTTTTTAGAGGCATGGCTGTCTATATGCGACGTCTCCAACTAGACACTGGACAAGAATATTTCAGAGAGCATCTAGCATAACCGCAGAAGTGACCGTTAAGTTGGCAACGGTTAAATGAGTCAAGAGAAGGGATGGAGCTGGCTGCGTTACTGCGCTGCCTCTGACCACAGCACGGCCAGGTTTCTTCCAGCAAAGTCACGCAGAGCACAATGGTCACTCCCATTCGGACCTTGCTGCCCCTGAGAAGGTGGGCATCTCTGACCCATTTCCACTCGTCATTTCGCCCAGACCGTCCTTCACCACTGCTGCCCCCGAAGGTGTGCCGGGGCCTGCAGATGTGGTAGACTGTAGCCTGTGAATTTCGTTCCTGGACTGTTCATCTATTCGGGAGGAGGTTGCCAAGCGGGACCTCATCACACCCTCTTTCCCTTAGTCCGTTAGTCCGGGCTCCAGGCTTCTGCTGCCCTGGGCTCTTCAGCACCCACAGCGGGATGGGGCGGGAGGTTGCAGCCTCGTCTGGCATCCTGCAGCTCCGCCGGGCTCCCGCAGGCCCCGCCCCTTGCTGCTGAGGCTTTAAAGCAGAGTGTGCCCCCGGGGGCGTGCTTAGAGGCCGGAGACCGTCCCAAGAGGGTGCTCTGCCGGAAATGCACCCACGATCTCGCTGAGCGTCCTGAAATTCCGCCACAGGGCAGGCTCCGGCTGGTTGGCTTTCCTGCCGCCGTTTGTCCCTCGCGAAGCCCCGTTGCTCGCCCGGGAGGCGTGACTAGGGGCTGGGAGCAGGCGGGCTGCGGCGCCGTGGGCCCGGGCTGCCGCTGTCATGGATGCCTGGGTCCGCTTCAGTGCTCAGAGCCAAGCCCGGGAGCGGCTGTGTAGGTGCGGCCGACGGCGGAGCGCGGGCGGGCGGGAGGGCAGAGCAGGTGCCCGCGAGGCGACGGGCGCGCTACGGGGTCCCCAAGGGTCAGCCGTGGCTACGGGGGCCCGCGCGGCCCGGGAGGCGCACTCTGCAGCCGGTTGTGAGATGACTCTTTCCTGCTCACGGGAAAGATGGGGAAACTGAGGCATGAGTGGGCCAGTGGGGAGGCCGCCCAGGGTTACGGTGTCCACACAGCCACAGTTTCCTCACTGCTGTGGTGGCATGAGGGGCGATCCTTCCGGTTCTGCGTCGGCTCTCCGGCTGTCACCCAGGAGCAGCTGGCTCGCCTCTCCTTTGGGTTCCATACCGTTCCAGGACCTTAATCCCTTAGTTTACCTATCTGGAGGAATAGTCTGCCCTTCAACTAGATGGCCCGCTGTCGTGTTTGTATATAAACTCGCTGGTGGACGCGTCCCGGCTGCTCACTGACCCCTTTAGGCCTCACGCCTTGAAGCTCTTACTCTCTTAACTCCAAATAGTGCTCTCCACCCTCTCATAGGCTTTATTTTCTCGTGTCTTTCCCTTCCCCTGGCCTTGAGGAAAACCAGAAAGATATTGGTGTGAAAAGGGAGGAAATGTCCCCGGAGGAGTTTTTGTTTTCAGATTTGTTATTATTTGAGTGTTTTGTCTTGCAAATACGATGTGCACCACATGTGTGTCTGGTGCCTGCAGAGGTCAGAAGAGGGTGACGGATGCTCTGGACCTGGAGTTACAGACAGTTGTGAGCCACCGTGTGGGTTCTGGCAATGGGACCCCGGTCTTCTGCAAGAGCAAGTGCTCTTAACCGCCTCGCCAGCCCGCTGGAGGACGTGTTTGGCAGAGAGGTTAGGGAAGCCTGTCCCTTACTTCTCCTGTCCTCCCCTCCAGGGCTGCCCAGTATGCCTGTTCCCTTCTTGGCCATGCTTTGCAGAGACATGGCGCCAGTCCTGAGTTACAGAAACAGATTCGACAACTGGAGGGTCATCTGAGCCTTGGAAGAAAGCGTAAGTAAACCAGACCTTGCTTTTATCATTCTCAGCTGTGAGCCCATTGCCTCTCCTTCCTGCATTTTCCTTTTCTGCCTGTTTTCATCCTTTGGATCTTCTGCATGCCTCCAACTGAGATAAGACAACAGGCATAAGAAAGTTAGCATGGATTGGAGAGAACGGGGCAAGTCAAAACTAAACCGGGACCAAAATTAATTACAATTTGAAGTGTAAAAAAGGAACGAGCCCGCGGGCGGCGGTGGCGCACGCCTTTAATCCCAGCACTCGGGAGGCAGAGCCAGGCTGATCTCTGTGAGTTCGAGGCCAGCCTGCTCTACAGAGGGAGAGCCAGGATAGGCACCAAAACAACACAGAGAAACCCTGTCTGGAAAAAATGAAACAAACAAACAAAAAAGAATGAACTATGTTTACTCTTTCTTATTGTATGTTATTATTGCTTACTCGGCTTTTCCCTTTTTTCTCTCTTCTCCGCCCCCACCTCTGCCTCTCTACTTCAAATCCCTTGCTTTCCCTTGTTCTTCTCCACAAGTGCTACGCCTGGGTAACTCGGCAGATGCTCTCGAGTCAGCCAAAAGAGCTGTGCACCTATCAGATGTCGTCCTGAGGTTCTGCATCACTGTTAGTCATCTCAATCGAGCCTTATACTTTGCCTGTGACAATGTTCTGTGGGCTGGAAAGTCGGGACTGGCTCCCCGCGTGGACCAGGAAAAGTGGGCGCAGCGTTCATTCAGGTTCGGTTTTCTTTTCTCCTACAAGACTATTTGTGGCCTCCATCCTTCATGGCTTGCACATGCACATGTGCGCACGTACACACACACACACACACATATAATTTTCACTTTATGTGTATGGATGTTTTGCCTGCATGTATGTCTGCACCATTTGTGTGCCTGGTGCTGACAGAGGCCAAGAGAGGGCACCAGAATTGGAGTTACAGATGGTTATGAGCTGTCATGTGGGTTCTGGGAATCGGAATCCAGGTCCTAGGGAAGAGCAGAGGTGCTTTTGCACATTAAACCATCCCTCTAGCCCCGTATACACACGTTTTTAAAAAGTGTTATTGCAGGAGAGGGAGAGCACCACGCACACATCTGTGGGTCAGAGGGCAGCAGGCTTTCTCCACCACGGTGAGTTCCAGGCACCAAACTCAGGCTTGCGAGGCAGGTGCTTCCTTCCGCCTTCCGAGCCGTCTCCCAGCCTGTGACTTGCTATTTATGAGACAGAGGTAGCTCAGGATTTTCTGAGTGTACAGTTGGCTTTTCATAGCCATTTCCTCGTCTTTTCATTCAGGCAACCACAGAGTGAAAATGTCCGAGGGGAAAAGCGCATCTGAATTGAACATGTCAAAGTGTTTTGTGTCATTATCCTTAAACAATACAGCATAACATTTCTTTGCATTGCATATATATTGTATTAGATATTATAAACAGTCTGGGGGTGGATACAGAGGACTGTAGGTTATATATAAATTCAATACCATTTTATCTAAGAGTTTTGAGCAGTTATGGAGTTGGGTAGGATTTGGGTGGGTGGCCAGGATGCAGGATCCTGGAATTAATCCTCCATGGCTGCCAGACTATATATTATTCATTTCTTTGTCTGCTTTTGAGACAGGGTCTTACTGTATAGCCCTGGTTGACTCACTATATAGACTATCCTGGCTTTGAACTCACAGAGATCCGCCTGCCTCTGTCTCCTGAGCGCTGGCACCACTGCCCAGGCTTCATTCATATCTTAAACCATAAAACAGTAATAATATCAGATGGAAGTTGGATTTGCTATACCATAGCTGACTGAGATTAGAGATGATAAATATTGTATTACTTTAATTATGTCTAAAGCATAGATAGTCTATCCTCATTGCCTTCCCACACGTTTATTCCATTTCCCCCTTTTTTTAAATGTTATTTATTATTAGTGTTGGGGGCAGGTGGCATTGCCACACTGTACGTGGAGGTCAGTTTGCAAGGGTTGGTTCTCTCCTCCCACTGTGTGGATCTCAAGGTTGAACTCAGGTGGTCACATTTGGTGACAGAGCCTTTACTCTGCTGAGTCAGCTTGCCTGGTTTTTATTTCTTTTGTTGTTGCTTCTGCTGCTGATACAGGTCTCACTGCACAGCCTGGCTTAGCCTTGAACTCAGGGTTCCCCTGCTTTAGATGAGACAGGTCTCACTGCACAGCCTGGCTTAGCCTTGAACTCAGGTTTCCCCTGCTTTAGACCTCTCCGCTCCCAGCTCTAGGACAGGATTACAGGCATGTGATACCACGCCTAGTTTATTTTTCTTCCGTGATATTGGGGTCTCATAGGGCTGAGAGAACAGTCTTCTACAAGCGTGAAGGCCTGAGTTTGATCCCCAGAACCCCCCAACACACACACAAACACAAACCAGGGATGGTGATGCAATCTTGTAATCCAGCAATATGGAGGTTAATCAGGAGGATTCCCAAGGCTCTTTGGCCAGCCAGCCTAGAGCAATAATGAGCAAGCTTCAGGCCAAGTGAGAAACCCTGTCTCAAAAAACAAGGTGGATAGCACCCAAGAAGTGACCCCAAGGTCCGGGCTTCACATACATGTGCACGTGTGTGCATGCATACCCACAAATATGTACACCTGAACACGTGAAAGAGATGGGAGTCTCGGGTGTTGCTCAGGCTGGTACAGGATTCCTGGGTTCAGACAACCCTCCTCCCGTAGCCACCCCAGTAGCTGGGACTCCACAAGTATGTACCACTGCCGCTGTGCTTGGCTTTTCCAAAACTATTTTGTAGTTTCTTACTACTACGGCGAAGAGATTAAGCCAAAGCCAAACAAATGTGGTGCCTGACCTTGAACTTTAAGGTCTGCAGTGAGGTGGCTCAGTGAGGAAGAGTGAGCAGACCTGATGGTCTGAGTCCCATACCTGGGGCCCAGGTAACGATGCAAGAAAAGAGCCACTCCAGAAAGTTGTTCTTTGACTTCCATACGGATACCATTGCACTTGTGCCCCCCCCCATATATACACTCCACATAGTAGTAATAAATAAAACAAATTTAAAAAGAGAAAAGCAACCAAGGCTCATTACAGTGTAGGGAGCCAGCTACTAAAACAATTAATTATACCTATAAGATGGTTGAGTAGGTTTAAAGTGCTTACAGGGTGAACCTGATGGCCTGAGTTTAGTCCCTAGAGCCTATGATGGGAGGAGAGAATTGAGTCCGCAAGTGAGCCTTCCAACCTCCACACATGTACCTACACACAGACACACAGACACACAGACACACACACACACACACACACACACACACACACAGGTATAGCGATTATGGAAGAATGATACAAGGTACATTAAGAGAGGCTGAGAATGTAGCTCATTGATAGAGTGCTGTCTAAGGTATTTAGGTTTCACTGTAATTAGATAAGAAGAAAACAAGTGGATACTTTTCAGAGCAGATGTAATGATGTGATTTACACTCACACTACTAGCTACTTTATCAAACTCAATGGTTAGGGTAGGGACAAGAATGGCCACAGAGAGACTAGTTAAAAGACCAAAGTGCAGTCTAGATAAGAGATGATTGTGGCCAACACTCGGAACACTAGAGAAATATTGTATTTTTTCCCAGGGGGGTAACACAGAATCCCAGTCTTTTGAAAGATGTATTTATAGTCATTTTAGTTGGTATGTATCTGTATTGGCACGTGTGCATTGGAGTGCAGGTGCCTGCAGGTGCTGGAGGTGTCAGAGGTGTGAGTGCAGCTGCCTACAGGTGCTGGAGGTGTTAGAGTGTGAGTACCAGTGCCTACAGGTGCTGGAGGTGTTAGAAGTGTGAGTGCAGATGCCTGCAGGTGCTGGAGGTGTTAGAGTGTGAGTACCAGTGCCTACAGGTGCTGGAGGTGTTAGAGTGTGAGTACCAGTGCCTACAGGTGCTGGAGGTGTTAGAGTGTGAGTACCAGTGCCTACAGGTGCTGGAGGTGTTAGAAGTGTGAGTGCAGATGCCTGCAGGTGCTGGAGGTGTTAGAGTGTGAGTACCAGTGCCTACAGGTGCTGGAGGTGTTAGAGTGTGAGTACCAGTGCCTACAGGTGCTGGAGGTGTTAGAGTGTGAGTACCAGTGCCTACAGGTGCTGGAGGTGTCAGAGGTGGGAGTGCAGCTGCCTACAGGTGCTGGAGGTGTTAGAGTGGGAGTACCAGTGCCTACAGGTGCTGGAGGTGTTAGAGTGTGAGTGCAGGTGCCTACAGGTGCTGGAGGTGTCAGAGGTGTGAGTGCAGGTGCCTACAGGTGCTGGAGGTGTTAGAGTGTGAGTACCAGTGCCTACAGGTGCTGGAGGTGTTAGAGTGTGAGTACCAGTGCCTACAGGTGCTGGAGGTGTCAGAGGTGGGAGTGCAGCTGCCTACAGGTGCTGGAGGTGTTAGAGTGGGAGTACCAGTGCCTACAGGTGCTGGAGGTGTTAGAGTGGGAGTACCAGTGCCTACAGGTGCTGGAGGTGTTAGAGGTGAGTGCAGGTGCCTTCAGGTGCTGGAGGTGTTAGAGTGTGAGTGCAGCTGCCTACAGGTGCTGGAGGTGTCAGAGTGGGAGTGCAGGTGCCTACAGGTGCTGGAGGTGTCAGAGGTGTGAGTGCAGGTGCCTACAGGTGCTGGAGGTGTTAGAGTGTGAGTACCAGTGCCTACAGGTGCTGGAGGTGTCAGAGGTGGGAGTGCAGCTGCCTACAGGTGCTGGAGGTGTTAGAGGTGAGTGCAGGTGCCTACAGGTGCTGGAGGTGTCAGAGGTGGGAGTGCAGGTGCCTACAGGTGCTGGAGGTGTCAGAGGTGGGAGTGCAGGTGCCTACAGGTGCTGGAGGTGTCAGAGGTGTGAGTGCAGGTGCCTACAGGTGCTGGAGGTGTCAGAGGTGGGAGTGCAGGTGCCTACAGGTGCTGGAGGTGTCAGAGGTGGGAGTGCAGGTGCCTACAGGTGCTGGAGGTGTTAGAGGTGAGTGCAGGTGCCTACAGGTGCTGGAGGTGTCAGAGGTGGGAGTGCAGGTGCCTACAGGTGCTGGAGGTGTCAGAGGTGGGAGTGCAGGTGCCTACAGGTGCTGGAGGTGTCAGAGGTGGGAGTGCAGGTGCCTACAGGTGCTGGAGGTGTCAGAGGTGTGAGTGCAGGTGCCTACAGGTGCTGGAGGTGTCAGAGGTGGGAGTGCAGGTGCCTACAGGTGCTGGAGGTGTCAGAGGTGGGAGTGCAGGTGCCTACAGGTGCTGGAGGTGTTAGAGTGTGAGTGCAGGTGCCTACAGGTGCTGGAGGTGTCAGAGGTGGGAGTGCAGGTGCCTACAGGTGCTGGAGGTGTTAGAGGTGAGTGCAGGTGCCTACAGGTGCTGGAGGTGTTAGAGGTGAGTGCAGGTGCTGGAGGTGTTAGAGTGTGAGTGCAGGTGCTGGAGGTGTTAGAAGTGTGAGTGCAGGTGCTGGAGGTGTTAGAGGTGAGTGCAGGTGCCTACAGGTGCTGGAGGTGTTGGCTCCCACGGAGACGGAGTTGCAGGTGGTTGTGAGCCGCCTGACATGGGCTCTGGAAACCAAACCTAAGGCCTCCGGAAGAGCAGTGCAAACCCTTAAAGACAAGCTGTCTCTCCAGCCTCTCAGGATTTGTTTTAAAACTAGGACAATGTATTGAGTGTAGATCACTGTTACTAGGGTAGATTAAAAACAAAACACAGGCTGCAGAGATGTCTAAGTCAAGTAAAGTGGTTGTTGCATATAAGCATGGGGACCTGAGTGTAGCTGGAGAGCTTTTCTTTCCGGGTCCCACCAAGTCCTGCCAGTCCCGGAGCCCACTTATAAAATAAGCACACAGACTCTTACATTATTTAAACTGCTTGGCCATTAGCTCAGGCCTATCATTGTCTAGCTCTTACTCTTATATTTAGCCCATTTCTATTAATCTTTACTTTGCTGTGTGGCTCGTGGCTTACTGGTACCTTACATCTTGCTTGTCCTGGCGGTGGCTCCAGGCAGTCTCCTGCTCCACCTTCCTGTTCCCTCAATTCTCCTCTCTGTTAGTCCCACCTATACTTCCTGTCTGGCTACCGGCCAATCAGTGTTTATTTATACAGAGCGATATCCACAGCAATAGTGATTATTTCATAATACACATATTCAAAATATCACTGTACACTTAAACATATATAGTTTTTTTTGTTTGTTTGTTTTGTTTTGTTTTTTGAGACAGGGTTTCTCTGTGTAGCTTTGCGCCTGTCCTGGAACTCACTTGGTAGCCCAGGCTGGCCTCGAACTCACAGAGATCCGCCTGCCTCTGCCTCCCGAGTGCTGGGATTAAAGGCGTGTGCCACCACCGCCCGGCAACATATATAGTTATACCCCAGAAATAATAAAGAAAAAAGAACTCTCCTACTATTTTATAATTAGTATGTGTTTATGTGCACCTTAAGATCCTGGCTTAAAATTCGTAAGTGTCATGAAATCTGCCAAGATTGACTTCAAATTTCATTTTTGAGACAATCAATATAACATACCACACTGAGCTGGAAGGACGGCAGTGGTAATGTGCTCACCATTCAAGTGTGAGGACCCAAGTTCGGGTCCCCAGAACCTGTGTAAATGCTGGTAGGCATGAAGATAGGGACTCTCTCAGAACAAGATGGCTAGTCAGACTCTCCTTGTACAGGTACGCTCTGGAGTCAGTTACGGTGGACACAGCCTTCCAAAGCCAAGCTTGGGCCTCCGGTGCATAGATGTGCCCAGGCATTCACACACACTTGTGTATACATATGCACACATGAAACACACACACACACACACACACACACACACACACACAGGGTAGGGGGATACACTTAACTTGACCCTAATAATGTAAACTATTTTGAGAGAACAAATTTAGCTGTTCAAGAGACACATACAGCCTGAAGTGGTGATACATGCCTATAATCCCAACACTTAGGATCAGGAGTTCAAGGACAACCTGGGTTACATGAGACCCTGTCTCAAGAAAGAGAGAAGAAAAAAGATTTATACATATTTTGACCATTTAAATCCAATCTTTAAGAAAAAAAAAAAAAAACAAAGACCCCTCCAAAAGGTCCAGAGATATTAAGTGACTGCTAGAGATGTTAGATTATAAATTCCTTAAGCACAAAAATACATTATTTATTATTATTTACCCTGTGGCACTGGCTGATGAACTCACTATGTAGGCTAGCCATAGCTCAAACTCTCCAAGTGCTGGGACTAAAGGCATGCACCACCATACCCAGCCCAGCAAAAACATCTTCTACTTTTTTTTTTTTTTTTTTCTTTAAGGCCAGGCTTTCTCTGTGTAGCCCTGGCTGTCCTGGAACTTACTCTGTAGCCCAGGCTGGCCTCGAACTCAGATCCGCCTGCCTCTGCTTCCCAAGCGCTGGGATTAAAGGCGTGCGCCACTACACCTGGCTCATTTTTGTTATGTTCTGAGACAGGATTTTTTATTTCACTATGTAGTCCAGGCCGGCTACGAATTCTCCATCCTGCCTAAACCTTCCTAGTGTTGGATTTACGGGCATACATTAGCTAAATACAAAAGCCTGTGAGGTTTTTTTGTTCTTGTTATATTGGCTGTGTGTGTGTGTGTGTGTGTGTGTGTTACAAGGTCTATACATGTAGACTCCAGACGTCGTCTACTGTTCTTCACCTTATGTCTTGAGGCAGGGTCTTTTACTGAACCTGGAGCTCTCCGCTTGGCTGGACTGGCTGGCTGGACAAGACCCTGGGGTCCTCCCAGCACTGGGGTCACAGGCATGAGCCACTCCACCGGGCTTTTTATGTGGGTGCTGGGGACCCAAACTCAGGTATTGGCGAAATTATTAAGGCCACTCCACGTAGTTAGAAGGAAGATTTATCTAGTGGATAACTTACAAATGAAGGGATAGGTAGGTCGTGGGGTCTGGGGAAAGTGTATCGCAGTCCAGCGGTGTTCCCTGGAGCTCTGTTCAGTCAACCTCCACCGTCCAGGGTCCTGGAACCGAGAGAGAGAGCGCTGGCCCATCCCCATCTCGGGTCTCCAGGGTCCTCCCTTAGCCCCGCCTTGTAGGCGTGACAGTTGCTGAAGCCTCAATGGGGGTTGGAACTTCCAGATCAAAGCTGGAATGGCTACCCACTACACACTATAAACAAGATTGTCAACATACTTACAATGGGACTGGAGAGATGACACAGCACTTAGAGCTCTGTCTGTCTGTCTGTCTGTCTGTCTGTCGTAGTTAGGGTTTCTATTGCTGGGAAGCAACATCATGACCACAGCAGCTCTTATAAAGGAAAACAGTTAATAGGGTTGGCTTACAGTTCAGAGGTTTAGTCCGTTATCATCATGGCAGGACATGGCGGCGTGCAGGCAGACATGATCCTGGAGAAGGAGCTGAGAATGTACATCTTGATCCATAATGCAGCAGAAGGAATCTGTGTGCTGGGTGTGGCTTGGGCATATATGAGACCTCAAAGCCCACCCCCACAGCAGCACACTTCCTCCAATGAGACCACACCTATTCAACAAGGCCACAACTCCTAATAGTGCCACTCCCTATGAACCAAGCATTCAGACACATGAATCTACAGGGCCATTTCTGTTCAAACCCACACTGTTCCTCCAGAGGACATGGGTTCAACTGCCAGCACCCACATGGCATTTCACAACCACCAGTAACTCCGGTTCCAGGGCATCTGACACCCTCTCTGGCCTTCTTGGGTGCCAGGCATGCACATGGTACACAGACATATGTGAAGGTGAAACACTCATATATGTAAGATAAGAACTTTAAAAACGGTCATAACCTTATGATGACATCTTTTTAGTTAAGAACACCTGAGCGCAGATCTACCCAGTTAGCAAATTTTAAGTATATGATGCAGTTGTATTAACTGTAGTCACCATGCTGTATGTTAGATGTAGACTTACTTATTTTGTAGAACTGGGTGTTTGAACTGGTTAATGTCTTCTTGTTTCTCATCCCCTCTGGTCCTGGCAACCACCACCCTATTCTGTGTTTCAGTGAGTTAGCCTATGTAGATTTAACATGGAAGTGAGATCATGTGTCTTTCTGTATCAGATTTATTGAACCTAGCGTATGGTCCAGAAGGAAGGACAGTTCTTTTCTTGGTGTTGCTGAGACTGAACTCAGGGACTCATGCACGCAAGGCAAATACTCTTACTCGTGAACTACATTGCTATTTCTAAGGCAGGACGTAGTTTTTAACTTAAAATTTATTTATTTATATTGTGTATGTGGGTGCATGTGTGTGCCATGGTGTCTGTGGAAGTCAGAGGACAAGTTGAGGACATCAGTTCTATCTTCCATGTGGGTTCTGGGGATCGAACTCAGGTCTTCAGGCTTAGTGGTGAATACTCTTACCCACTAAGCTATCTCAGCAGTCCCCAGAGTGGGCATTTCCAGTGGTGGGTTATAGATTTGCTTCTGACACTCTGATGTGGAGTCCCTTTGCAGTGCATGAGCAAAGTGTTTCAGTTTGTGTAGGGTTTGCTGAATGGATTGTGTGCCCTTCCTAACGTGGCGTCTGCCTGTGCATCCCAGGTACTATCTGTTTTCCCTCATCATGAATCTGAGCCGCGACGCTTATGAGATTCGTTTACTGATGGAACAGGAGACTTCAGCTTACGGCAGGCGAATGAAGGTTTCTGGAGTCCCGGGAGGAGTCGAGACTGGGGGACCTGGAGGACCCGCAACTCCAGGGGGATGCCTGCCACAACTGGCTCTGAAGTTTCGACTCCGAGTCCTGCTCTTGGCTCGTGTCCTTCGAGGTCACCCCCCTCTTCTGCTGGACGTGCTCAGAAACGCCTGTGACCTCTTCATCCCACTGGACAAACTAGGCCTCTGGCGCTGTGGCCCTGGGATTGTGGGCCTTTGTGGCCTCATATCCTCCATTCTGTCTATTCTCACCCTAATCTGTCCCTGGCTACGACTCAAGCCCTGACATTCTGATACAAGATAAGGAGGGAGCCTGAATTGGTGAGATGGAATCTTAGATTGTCCCCCATGTGCCAGCCTCTTTCTAATTCGACGCCTTGATTGAGGTTACGATCCAGATACTTAGGGTGAAGGGAAGAACCTTGCCCAAGACGAGGTCAGGAAGGCGATGTCGGCGGAAAGACTCAGCACGCCTCGAGAGGTGTTTGGGCCTCTCTGTTGTGGACAGAATCTCTTTGCTCTCTTCCCTTTATCTGTGTTGAGTCTGGTTAAGAATTTGTCACCATGCGACAGAATTGTTTTTCTTAGTCCCCTGTCCAGATACTTAAACAGAATTACTTTTTGTAGGAGAATCAGAAGTTTTGAATGGTAAAGTGCTAATTGTATTCTTTTCTGAAGCAGCATGTAGCATATTTCTTCCTTCACAGTCCATAATTTTTGAGACTTTATTTCACGTCCCAGCTGACTCTTCCCTCACGTCTCCACACCGAAGGCCATGACACTTCTCCCCTGCGTCTTCCTCGCCAGCCTCCTCCTGATGTGGCGTTGACCCTTCTCTCCTCCACGCCTTCGGGTGTCTGCTCACACTTGGATATTAGAGTTTCCCTCCTCACTGGCTCTTGCCTTTCTTTAACTCTCCAGAGCAATGCTGTGTCTGGCCTCTTGCTGTAAATACTGTACAATGAATCTGTGTAGTAACTGTGGTCCATGCCCACAGTGCAAGCAAGCCTTCCAGGTCAGCAAATTAAAGATCAGTTTGCTCACTAATTGATTTATTCATTTTCAAGATGGGGGTCTCACTCCGTTACCCAGGCTGGCCTGAAACCCTGAGTTCTCTTGCTTCAGGCTTGTGTGTAGCTGGGAGAACAGGTGTGTGTCACTATCCAGCTGCTCATTGGCATCTGGTCTGGCCTCTGTGTTCTGGCCATTTTAAGCCTTAGTTCCCATGACTATGGGTGGGTTTCCATGGCACTGGCAACTAACATCGTTACCTACAGGTTTTCATTGAAAACTTAAGTGTTGGGGAAAGTAGTGGGCAATCGAAAGTGCTAAGATGTTTCTACCATTCTTGTGACGTTTATAGCCTCCTTACATTGGGGTGGAAGATTCTAAACCAAAGCAATTATGTTGACACTACAAAGCACACCTGTCTGCAGACATGGACTCTCGGAAAGCTATTAAACACACAAACATGACCCGAGCTCAGTGAACTGGCAGGGTCACACAGTGGGACTGCCCTTTGCACAGGAGGCAGAAGACTGCTGTCGGCTTTTAGTCTGCATGTCTCAGGTTGAGATTGGTACGGCAAAAAGAAGTCGTCTCTATCTTCTGCTCTCCGTTCCAAACGGGAGGAAATCACTGTACACCAAACACGGAGGGGGAAAGCAGCCTCACAAAGGGTCCAAAGCTGTTCCCGTTGAATATCACTTGAGGCCTCCAGGGGGCAGCACCAAGCCCGAGGCCGGGACTGAGATCCCTCTGTCCTCTTGGTCCGGGGCTCCCCACGGTTCCCCGCGCACCACCCCTCCCATTCCGTCCAACTTTATTTTTAGCTGCCAGTGGGAGGGGGCAGGATTGGAGGGAAAGTAAAGAAAGCAGCGAAGGAGAGGGACAGAGAGGCGCAGAGGCCTTCTTGGACAAGACCGGACAAGCAGGCATGGCACGCCTCTCCGTTCCTCACCTGTTCGTGCCCCTGGTGTTTCTGACAGGTGAGGGAGAAGAACTTCGGGGTTTCTGGTGGGAATGGATGCTATGTAGATTGTTTAGAATTGGGACCATTACCGTTAGAATAATTTGGGAGTTCGGGTCAGAGGTTAATACTGGTACTATATTTCACGTGTGCGCTCATATTTTTAGATTCCCAAATGGCAGCCGTTGAAGCTACCTAGGGCTTGAGTAAGATTTGCACCTCGTTATCTCAAACCTTTGCCCTAAACTCCACAGAAATGAGGATACAGAATAGAAACACGTTTCTCCTCTTCCATGCAGCTAGTCTGATCCCTACCATTACCCTCCGGGCTTCTCCCTACCACTGGCACTCCCGGGCATAATTGCCTTACTGTGTGGTCAGAACTCGGGGTTCATCTAACGAATTCCTGGCCTTACAACCCTGCCAACTTCCTGGATGCAAAAAAAGGCTCACATGCAAAATACCTTTCTGAAAGCGAGCACAGTTTGCGTTGAGTTACAGCTACTGGAGGGTGAGAGTGGGACTGAGGGAGAGTGGCCTGAACAGAAGGAGAGAGACAATGGAGAAGAGAAGTATGGGAGGACAGGAGGCCTGGAAGTTTTCCCTGCTGGTACCCTGTAATCTTTGTTTCCTAAAATACCAGCCCTGATTTTAGGGGAATTGGGGTCAGAAGAAAGGACTCAGCAGGACATGGTTGGGGACCCGGAGAGTGGGCTAGAGTTTGAGGAAACTATGGGCAAGGGGTAGTTGGGAGGTGGAGGAGATAAGCAGCAGATTATGGGGGAGTTTTTTTTTGGGGGGGGTAGGACCCTTAACAAGGATAGATGGCAAACTCTGTGTGTGGGCAGGCCGGTGGTTCCACCCAGTTAATTAGCACTGGCTGGGAGCAACCAACGTCCTAGACCTTGGAGAAAGAGTCCAAGTGTGACAATGTCAAGAAGGAATGGAAAGGAGACACCCAGACCCGGGGCTCCTCGCCCTCCTCTCCTTCTCCCCACGGCCCCGGGTTTGGGAAGAATTTGGAAGGGTGGCTATTCTGTGGCTGCAGAAGGGCGAGCTCCCTCTTTTGACTCTCATGGCTTAGGAGGGTGTGTAGGAGGAATGATGTGGAAAGAGTAACTTGACCTTTCCAGACGTGTCTGTGAAGGAGATTTCAGGAGTGAGAATGGAAACGCAGCTGTGCTTCAGCGTGGCAGAGGGCCTTGGGACCCCCACGCAGGAAGAGAATCGTCCCATCATCCCAGCTGGGGCTCTGAGTACATGACATTGACGGAGGCCTGGAAGGCTTATAAGTAATCAGGCAGACACATGGAGATGGAGATGCACCCTCTTGTCTTGTGCATCTCTTGGCTTCTCCAGCCCTTCTTCAATTGACCGACAGGTTGATGCTAATTATGATCCTGGCCTCCCAGGTCTCTGCTCCCCCTTTAATCTGGATGAGCATCACCCACGCCTATTCACAGGGCCACCGGAGGCCGAATTTGGATACAGCGTCTTACAGCATGTTGTGGGTGGACAGCGATGGTGAGAAGGGAACCGGAGGACCATGGGATTGGGACTGTGGTAGCTCTGGTGAAAAGGGAGGCAAGATAAGTGGGTCTCTAAGCTGATCCTTGAAAGGGCCTAGAGCTCTAAACTTGCCATCTCCATGCGCCTTCCCTCTCTCCTACATTAAGAGTCACGTTCACCTGATGCTTATGTCCATATTTCCCTCCCAGGATGCTGGTGGGCGCCCCTTGGGATGGGCCTTCAGGTGACCGGCGGGGGGATGTTTATCGCTGCTCTATAGGGGGATCCCACAATGCCCCATGTGCCAAGGGCCACCTGGGTAAGAAGATGCCTGACTTTCCCCTGCTAATCCTTGATTTTGACACCCAGTAACTGAGTCCTTGTACATCAGCTTCTTTGCTGCCCCCATAACCTATGCAGACCTGGCCTTCAACTCGATACTGCCTCCTCTTCATGCTCTTCCCAAACTACACAGAACTAAAGCACCCAGTCTTTGACCCCATGACTTCATCCTCTTCTACCCCTCCTCCAACCAGGTGACTATCAACTGGGAAATTCCTCTCAGCCTGCTGTGAATATGCACCTGGGCATGTCTCTGCTAGAGACAGATGGTGATGGGGGATTCATGGTGAGCTAAAGGGTCTCAGAAGGTTCGCGGCAGGGAAAAGAGCATTATGGTAAGGGAAATGAGTCCATATAGAAGAGTCAAGGAATTCAAAATCCCTAGAGAGCAAGATAGGGTATCCCATGGTGTAATCTTAACTCTTTTTTAACTGGATGCATGTTCTGAGGGGCCTCTCTCAGGTCTGGGAATAACTATTTCCCCTACCCACCCCAGGCCTGTGCCCCGCTCTGGTCTCGTGCCTGTGGCAGCTCTGTCTTCAGTTCTGGAATATGTGCCCGTGTGGATGCTTCATTCCGGCCCCAGGGAAGCCTGGCACCCACTGCCCAACGTGAGCCAGTGCAAGGGCCTGAGAACTCAGTTCCCAGATGGGGGTGCTGGGTGGGGGAAACAGGACAGAAGACTTGGCGGAGGGTCTGCATGGCTGTCCTCACCATTCCCAATAGTGCATGCAGCAGCCTGCTGTTTGCTGACATTAGAATCCAGACTCCTTAGCAGAGCGTCAAGACACCAAGATCCGGCTTAACCAGCTTGAAAAACGCAGCTTGTCCTCTGCAAGTCCTGTGCCTCCGCCATCACGTTTACATGATTATTCCTCTGTGTGCCGTTTATTTTGGACCTGTATTTCCCTTTGTTTACAATGTTCTCTACGCCAGTGCATTTTCTCAGAATCTTCAATGTCTGGTTTTTGTGGGTCTCACGCATGCCAAGTGAGCACTCGGCTATTGAGGTCTCCCCCAGTCCTCTCATATACCTTCCTATTTGCCGCCTTTTTGGAGATGGTTTTATTATGTAGTCCAGGATACCCTTGAACGTGGGATTCGCCTGCCTCGGCTTCTCAAGGACTAGGATAGTAGACATGTACTGTCATGCCTGGCCTCTGCTGCCTCTTTGGTTTACCACTATCAGAAACGACCCTCGGAGCTGGACCTGCCCCTCAGTGGCACATTGTAGAGCATGAGTAGAGCCCTTAGTTCAACTCCCACACAGACACACACATACAGAAGTGATGCTTTCTCAGTCTCCCATACACAGACTAGTGGTAGGTTTCTACCCAGGGCGTATTTCATTCTTCACACTTGTCCTTCTCTTCTTTCGTTCATTCCTGCACTTAGGACCTGGCGTAGTCCTTTCCTTGCGTGTAAGAAGGAAGTCCTAGCTTACACTGAGGCATCCTCCTGTGACGTTTCCCATTGTTGGCTCCACCCCAGCATCCTCCCATGTCTGTTTCCCATCACTATGTTTCCCCTTCTAGGCTGTCCTACATACATGGACGTCGTCATTGTTTTGGATGGCTCCAATAGTATCTATCCCTGGTCTGAAGTTCAGACTTTCCTTCGGAGGCTGGTAGGGAGACTGTTTATTGATCCGGAGCAGATACAGGTAAGAAAAGGATATGTGGATGGGCTTGGCGGGAAAGAGATAAATAGTCGTGGTCCCTTTAGTGTAATCAGGCATGTCCAACATCTTGAATAGCACCAGGACATTGTCATCTGCAGAACTCGTGATTAAGAAATGTGCAATTAAGTTACCAAAAAGTCACAAAAATCTCATAATGTTTGAAGTAAGTTTAGGATAGCTGTCCTTGGCTGCACGCAGCTGCTTGGGGCCCACGAGCTACAGGCTGGACCCGCCTGAGGGGTGTTCATTTCTTCTCCGTCCTTTCTTCTCCTTCATCCTCTGCAGACATCCCATTTGGGAACGTGGCTTATTATTTTCAGGTAGGACTGGTACAGTACGGGGAGAGCCCTGTGCACGAGTGGTCCCTGGGAGATTTCCGAACCAAGGAAGAAGTTGTGAGAGCAGCCAGGAACCTCAGTCGGCGGGAGGGACGAGAAACAAGAACTGCCCAAGCAATAATGGTGGCATGGTGAGGCATGGGGAAGGGGATGTGGGAGAACGAAGGATCAGCAGGGCGAGGAGAGGGGCTGGGGTGTAGGGTGCCATCACAAGATGCTCTGTATGCTTATCTTCGTGTGCCGGAAGTTCACGGAGGAAGGCTCAGCTGACTGCTGCCACTCTGTCACTGGACTCTCTCTTACTGTGTTTTACAGTGTCTGTGTGTCTCTCCTTGTCTGGTCTTGTGACCAGAGCCCCACCTCTTCTCTGCTTCTGTGTCAGTTCTGATCCTTAGCTTTTCAACTGCTCATGTCCTAGCTTTCTTTCCAAACTAGACCCTAAACTAACTAACCTCTGGGAAGACGGCCTGGCCCCACGACCAGTGTCTATTCTCCATGTCCTTGATTTTTGTCAACCCAAACACAACGTCTGCTGAATGAATCTGTGAATGACTAAAGCCTGTACTTATTTACACTGATGATAGGTTATTCTACGTGTTCTGTGGCATCCAAACATTCAAACCGTGACTTTGTGCCAGTTTGCATGTTAAACACTGTTGGGGAATGGCCTAGAAGATACAACATCTGACCTCAGTGAACTGCTGACAGTGTTAAATACATTGTGTGTGTGTATGTGTGTGTGTGTGTGTGTGTGTGTGTGTGTGTGTGTACACTCACATACACGCTTATACCATGACTGTATCTCATTCTTTTCTCTTCTTAGCACAGAAGGGTTCAGTGAGTCCCGGGGGGGCAGACCCGAGGCTGCAAGGCTGCTGGTGGTTGTCACTGATGGAGAATCCCATGATGGAGAGGACCTTCCAGCAGCACTAAAGGCCTGTGAGGCTGGGAAAGTAACACGTTACGGGATTGCGGTGAGACTTGGGACTGGTGCTTTTTGGGTTTGTTCTGTGTTGTATTGTGTGTGTGTTTGTATGATGTGTGTGTGTGTGTGTGTGTGTGCATGTGTGCACATACTATGATACACACACACACACACACACACACACACACACACACACACACACGCAGGGCAGAGAACAACCTCAGATAGTGGTCCTCTCCTTCCACCTTGTTTGAGACTGGGTCTCTTGTTCAGCTGTATACAATAGGCCAGGCTAGCTGACCCACAGGTTTGGGCCAGTCTTCTGACTCAGCTTCCTATCTCCTGGTAGGAGCCTGCTAGGATTGCAGATAAGCTTGTGCTGTTGTCCAGCATTTTATGCTTTTATGTGGGTCTGGGGATCTGAACTCAGGCTGTCAGGTGTGTGGCGAGCACTCTACTCACTGAGTTATTTTCCCAGACCAAGAATAGACTCTGGATCTAAAAAGAGAGATGGAGAAAGGTTTTCAGGATGTGAAACACAGAGGAAATAGTATCAGCAACTCCCTGGACTTCAATTGTGTTTTACAGTGTCTGTGTGTCTCTCCTTGTCTGGTCTTCCTCTTTCTTTAGCTGGCTATGTTCTCTATCAGCTCTAACAACTTACTTCACACAGCTAATAGACCCCCATCTTGAACTCAGGTCCTTGGTCACTATCTCCGGCGACAGAGAGACCCTAGCTCTTTTCTTCGGGAAATCAGAGACATCGCTAGTGATCCAGATGAGCGATTCTTCTTCAACGTCACAGATGAGGCCGCGCTGACAGACATTGTGGACGCACTGGGAGACCGGATTTTCGGTCTTGAAGGTAATGATTATCCTGGCGAAATGGAAGACCGGGTTGGGGGCATTCTAGAGGGAGTTCAGTAGAGCGAGCTCCCCTGATAGCGCTTTGCAATTTTCTCGTGTCCAAGGGTCCCGTGGAGAAAATGAAAGCTCCTTTGGGCTAGAAATGTCTGAGATTGGCTTCTCCACCCACCGGCTACAGGTTGGACAGACCCTGACCCTCTGCAACATCCCCGAGCCCTTGATCTCTTCATAATCCTCTCCAGTCTCTGACTCAGATAACTTCAACCCTAAGGCCCGTCCAGATTTCTCCTTTAACCAGACTGCGTCCTGAACCTTCATGCTTTTCTGACCGCAGTGTACCCTTACACGAGCATCTCACTCCTGCATCCTGACCCTCCATGCCTTTCTGACCACAGTGTACCCTTACACGAGCATCTCACTCCTGCATCCTGACCCTCCATGCCTTTCTGACCACAGTGTACCCTTACATGAGCATCTCACTCCTGGGGAGTCGTTTTTCTCCTATTCCCACTGTCTTCTCAGTGTCCTCGTCTGGTTCTGCCCCTCAGGATGGGATTCTCTTTGGGATGGTGGGGGCCTATGACTGGGGGGGCTCGGTGCTATGGCTTGAAGAAGGTCGCCGCCTTTTCCCCCCACGAACGGCCCTGGAAGATGAGTTTCCCCCTGCACTGCAGAACCATGCAGCCTACCTGGGTGAGTAACAGAGTTGCGGGGCACTGGGAGGGTGAGGGAGAGCCAGTAGGGGGTAGGAGGCACTCCTTCTTCACTCAGGCAGTTTTTCACTGACTCTCTTGAGAACTCACCTGATGCCCTTAGCACGCCGTCCACTCTTACCTCATCTTCTTTTCCTTTTACATCTGATCCCTCCTCACTTCTAGGTTACTCTGTTTCCTCCATAAGTCTGCCGGGTGGACGCCGCCTCTTTGTCTCGGGGGCACCGAGGTTTAGACATCGAGGAAAGGTCATAGTCTTCCAGCTAAAGAAAGATGGGGCTCTGAGGGTCACCCAGAGCCTCCAGGGGGATCAGGTATGACATCAGGGGAGGGTGGGACCCTTGGGTCCCCAGGACGTCCAGGCTGAAGAAGAATGCCAAGGGAAAGGGCAAGGCTGGGAAGTCCATGCTGAATTCTGGTAGACAGTCTGTCAGGGGTGTGAGGACCAGATTGGCAGAGTGGTGAGTGCTTCCTGCTGAGTCCAGCTGTCCACACCCACCTTCTCTCTGGGCTCCTCACCACCCACCTCGCCCAGATTGGCTCATACTTTGGCAGTGAGCTGTGCCCATTGGATACAGACAGCGATGGGGTAACTGATGTCTTACTTGTGGCGGCCCCCATGTTCCTGGGTCCCCAGAACAAAGAGACCGGACGTGTTTACGTGTATGTGGTAGGACAGGTGAGATCCGTGGGACCCCCCAGGATGTGTGGGGGGGGGGTGGTGGAAGAAGGGGAGAGAGAGAGACACATATATCTGAGAGCTCGCTGAGAGGAGAGGGTCACCAGATAAGCGATTCCTTCTATCTCCTTACCACTACAAGCAAGTTTTGCTGATGCTCCAAGGAACCCTTCAGCCAGGACGCTCCCAGGATTCTCGATTTGGCTTTGCCATGGCCGCTCTTCCTGATCTGAACCAGGATGGTTTCGCCGATGTGGCTGTGGGGGCACCCCTGGAGGATGGGCACCAGGGAGCATTATACCTGTATCATGGAGCCCAGGATGGAATCAGGCCCCATCCTACCCAGGTTAGCAGTGTGGGGGTGAATCTCTGTGAGTTCAAGGCCAACCTGGCCCACATAAGTGAGTTCCAAGCTAGGCAGGACTGCATGGTGAGATGTCTCAAAATCAAAATAAAAACAAACAATTGAAAATGGGATTCAGTGGTAGCAAGGGAAGGAAGTTGTTTTCTCTGCTTATTTATCTTCCACTTGGCTTAAGAGCCGATCCAAGCCGGTGCCCGTATTCATAGGTTGAGAAGTGAGATGGTGAGGGAGGGAGTCCTGAGACAGGAGAATTTTTCTTATTCTCTTGATGGATGGGAATGTTAGAAAGAGGCTTGCAGGAGGACAGAAAAGCAGATGGAACCCTTCCTCAGTCTCCCCTCCCCCCGCAGCGGATCGCTGCTGGATCCATGCCACAGGCCCTCCGCTACTTCGGCCGAAGCGTGGACGGCCGGTTAGATCTGGATGGAGATGATCTCGTGGACGTTGCTGTGGGTGCCCATGGGGCAGCCATCCTGCTCAGGTGAGGGGGTATCAGCTTGGGTAGCAGTGCACAGGAACGCACAGCTTATAAGAACAAAGGTCACAGATTTAGATTTGGGTCCCTTGGTCAACTAATCTGATGCCTAAGCTCCTAGTTCATAGAATAAAAGTAACTGTCACTATCTTACTGGTTTGTTGCAGATATCAAATGGGATGGTCCACATAAAGATTTCTAACAGTGCTTATTTATTGTTATTTTATGTGTGTGGGTGTTTTGCCTGTTTATGCACTGTGTGTATGTGCAGTACCTGTGGAGACCAGAAGAGGGTATCAGATCTCCTGGAACTGGAGTTTTACAGAGGGCCTTAAGCTGCTTTGTGGGTGCTAAGAATCAAACCTGAGCCCTCTGGAAGAGCAGCCAGTGCTTTTAATCACTGGGCCATCTCTCCAGCTCTGACATTAGTGCTTATCAAATTGAATGTATTGTTATGCGACTTCTGTCATAGGCTTCTGGGAAGGGTGACCTATTCAGACCTTAATTTTTTTTTTCTTTCTTAATCATGGGGAAGCAAGTAGTAAGGTTGCAATTCTTACCTTTTTCTTTTCTTCTTGTTCTGAAGTGCAAGCTCAGACCCTGAAGAGCTCTACCACTGAGCTCCATCCTCAGTCTAGGGTTGTACTTTTGTGGGTGGAGGGGAGACTTACCTGCTCCTTCTAGAATTTCTTCCCCACCCTGTTCCCAGCTCCCAGCCCATCATACACCTGCTTCCAAGCCTGGATGTGATGCCACCGCACATCAGCGTGGTTCAGAAGGACTGTAGGCGAAGAGGCCAGGAAGCAGCCTGCCTGACAGCAGCCCTGTGCTTCCAAGTGACCTCTCACACTCCCGGGCGTTGGGACCGCAGGTTCTGTGAGTGACTACAGTGTATCCAAGACAACGCTCAAGCCCTAGCCCGCCCTGGTGTTGGTACTTGTCTCCATTCTCATGCTTGCCTCTCCCGATCAGACATACGATTCTCAGCATCCCTGGATGAGTGGACAGCTGGGGCGCGTGCAGCATTTGATGGCTCTGGCCAGCGGCTGTCCCCGAGACGGCTCCAGCTCAGTGTAGGGAATGTCACCTGTGAACAGCTGCACTTCCACGTGCTGGTGAGGAGGGGGTAGGCACTGCTTCGCACTGGGCCTGAGAGTGAGGGGAAGCCTGGGTCCCAGGGGCGTTTCAACCAGGTCAACAACAAAACTGAAGCAGAGAGACTGAGACAATTCAGATCAGGGTCAGGATGATAGGACTGGAACCCTTGCTCTATAATTTGTCACCATGAACTCTGCCAAGTCACTTAGCTGCTGCACCTCAGGGTCCTTGGCTGAAAGGGATGATACACACGGATAACTGTATCAGAGGGGTTGTGTCTGAGTCACAGTCCATCGTATTGTGACAACCTTGGGACACGGTGCCCAGGACATAGAAAGGACTTCCTGGACGGTCACACTTGGTGTCCTCTGCAGAGGCCTGGCTTCTGCTCTGATCCTGTTTTCCCACAATCTGTCCTTCATTCTGCTTTTCCTCAGGACACGTCGGATTACCTCCGGCCAGTGGCCTTGACTGTGACTTTTGCCTTGGACAACACCACCAAGTCAGGGCCTGTGCTGGAAGAGAGATCGTCCACCTCTGTCCAAAAACTGGTTAGCGGTGCCGTGCCCTGCGTGGTCTGGGGTCCCAGGGCTGCTCTCCCAGTGAACTTAAGAGAAAGGGGAGGCCACACACAAATGGTGAAATCTGATCCAGGCTCTGGTGACCAAAATACAGCCTCTCTTCTCTTCACTTTCCCCCAATTCCAGTCCTTCCTCCTCGCCTTCCTCCCAGCCCTCCGACCCTCGCCTCTCTTCTAGGTCCCCTTCTCAAAAGACTGTGGCCCTGACAATGAATGTATCACAGACCTGGTGCTTCAGGCTGACATGGACATCAGAGGCTCCAGGTTAGATGGGGATGAGCTAAGCAAGCCGGAAGGGACTCAAGGGGGGCTAGAGAGTTGTTTTTGAGACAGGTTCTCCCTATGTAGCCCTGGCTCGCCTGGAGCTTGCTATGTAGACCAGGCTGCCCTTGACCTCACGGAGATTCACCTGCTTCTGCCTCCCAAGTGCTGGGATTAAAAGCGTGTGCCACCATGTTGGAAGTGAGACTTTTGATTTCTTTTACCTCTCAGTCTTCCCTCTATTTCCCGTTCTTAGGAAGTCTCCATTTGTGGTTCACGGCGGCCGGCAGAAACTGCTGGTGTCAGCAACCCTGGAGAACAAGAAAGAAAACGCCTACAACACTAGCCTGAGTCTCAGGTTCTCTAGAAACCTCCACCTGGCCAGTCTCACTCCTCAGGTACCCTTGGGGGAAGGGTCTGAAGCGAAGGAGAGGAGGGAGGAGGAGGAGGAGGAGATTATCAGCTTTGGCTGTGGGGTGCTCTGAAGGAAGGCTCAGCGTTTAGCATCTTAGTGGGTGGAAGGGCAGCCCCAACTCTGACTTCCGCCTCCAATCCTTTGCCTTCAGAGGGCCAAATCAGTGAAGGTGGAATGTTCGGTCCCTTCTCCCCACGCCCGGGTGTGCATCGTGGGCCACCCAGTCTTCCAGGCAGGGGCCAAGGTGAGTTTGGGTCCACGATGAGGAAAGGGGCCGGGAAAGTGGGGGTCTGGGATCCGCGGGGCATGGAAGTTCTGGGGAGGAGGTAGACGCGGGCTCTTGTTCCTCTGTGGTTTTCCCACAAGGAAGAATTTCTCATTATTCCATCCACGTCCCTCACCCCCAGGTGACCTTTCTGCTCGAGTTTGAATTCAGCTGCACCTCGCTCCTGAGCCAGGTCTTGGTGAGGCTGACCGCCAGTAGGTGAGAAGGAGCTTCCTCCAGCCCTCTCCAACCCCTCTCGGGGGTCTGGACTGAAAGTCGGAGAAGTGGGTGGCTAAAGAAACAGCCCTGATTCCTCTAGTAGCAGGGAGGGTCCCTGAGGAGGGACCGGGATGTGACCCCCCCCACACACCTTGCCCCTACAGCAGTAGCCTGGAGAAGAACGAGACCCTTCAAGATAACACAGTTCAGACCTCTGCCTACATCCGGTACGAGCCTCAGCTCCTCTTCTCTAGGTATGGCTGGGCTCCCGGCTGGGACCTGTTCTGACCCTGACTCACATCCTTTGCTTCCTCCCTGGCCTTCCGTGAGCTTCAGTGTTCCCAGGAGCACCAATCCTTGGGCTGCTCAGTCTCTTGGTCCTCACCCCCACGCGTCGCTAACCCTTGCTCTTAAGCACCTCACTTTGCTGGCCTTGTCAGGTCCTGAGCATTGGAATGAGGGCGAAGAGGTGTGGGGTATGGCCATACGTTGTTTTAAAAATCAAGTTCGTGTTTTATTCAGTTTCCTTCTTTGTCCCGCATCCCTATCCCATGACCCACGGCTGACCCCACCTTCCCGGAATCCACGTCTGTATGCCGATCACGTGCCCTGTGTCATTCTCACGGCCATGCCTTTACACCGCCTGGCTTGGTGTCTCCACAGTGAGTCCACTCTGCATCGATACGAGGTTCACCCTTACAGGACTCTCCCAGTGGGCCCTGGCCCTGAGTTCAAAACCACTCTTAGGGTGAGAAGCTGGTGGTGGGGAGCGGTCTGGGCATGCTAGGGGTGGGGCTGGGGGAGGGGCAATAGCTGTGTGGGGGAAGGACGAGAAGAATCATGGCTGACGGGGAACAGACGAAGCAGGTCCTCTGTCTCTCGCCTCCTTCCAATCTAAATTCTTCTCGCAGGTTCAGAACCTTGGCTGTCACGTGGTCAGTGGCCTCATCATCTCAGCCCTCCTTCCCGCGGTAGCCCATGGGGGCGATTACTTCCTGTCGCTATCTCAGGTCATCAGTAGCAATGTGAGTCTGGGCTAGAGCGTTGCAGTCTTGAACTGGTGGACTCCTGTCTGCCGGCCCACACTGCTCGCGGAGCGCCTCCTCCTGGGACCGACCATTCTTTTCCAGGTGGCTTGGGAGGGAGGGAAGGGGTTATCCAGAGAGGGTCTTTCAAGTTGGATCTTCCTTTAGGCAAGCTGCACGGTGCAGAACCTGACTGAGCCCCCAGGGTCCCCTGTGCACCCAGAGGAACTTCAGCACACAAACCGACTGGTAGGAGTCCCCGGAAGGTGCCTGGGACAGGAATGCAAGCAGAGATTGGTGTCTGGTGAAAGGTGGGTGGGAAGTGGAGATGGGAGGGCGAGCTGTCCCCTCCAGCGTCCTGATCTGTCTCTCTTCTGACAGAACGGGAGTAACAGCCGGTGTCAGGCCGTGAGGTGCCGCCTTGGACAGCTGGCGAAGGGGACTGAGATCTCTGTTGGACTGCTGAGGCTGGTTCACAACGAGTTCTTCCGGAGGGTAAATCTGCCCTTTTCTGCCTCTCCGCTTCTATCAGAAATGTTAACACGAGATTAGGAGGTCGGTAGACTCCGGTTGAAGTTCAGCCTCCCTCTGACCATGAGCAAGTGATTTCATCTCTCTGGTCTTTCTTCCTCATCTTTTTGGTTTGTTTGGGATTTTTTTGTTTGTTTGAGACAGGGTTTCTCTGTGTAGTCCTGGCTGACCTGGAACTCACTCTGTAGACCAGGCTGGCCTTGAATTCACAGAGATCCACCTGCCTCTGCCTCCCAAGCTCTGGGATTAAAGGCGTGCGCCACCATGCCCGGCTTTTGCCTGATCCTTAAATGAGAATGATAGTACCTAGCTTGTGGAACTGTTAGAAGGAGGTCATGAGATGGACATATGGCAAGTCCTCAATAGGACATAGCCGCCACCCTGTATTTTCCTCTACTTAGCATCCCTTAGTTCCATCATCATATGAGTCAGTTAATAGAATGCCCACATTTAATCAATAATTCATCAGGCCAGGGGTGATGATGTACATCCTTAATCTCAGCACTCCAGAGGCAGGGGCAGATAGATCTCTGTGAGTTCAAAGTTCCGGGCTAGCCTGGTCTATAGCAAGCACCACGCCAGCCAGCCACTCTCGTGAGTACATGTGCACACATACACACATGAGCACACACATGTGCACACACACACTCATACTCCATCAAGTGCCTATTATAGGAATGATTCTGTGGTTAGTCGACAGTGAGGAGGTTAAGACCTATCACGTATCATGTCTAACCCATTGCGGGTTTTAATACTTTTTTGTTAAACAAGTGAATACAGTAATTGATATCATTTACAGGATTTTATGGGGCAGTGGGAAGTAAAACTGCACAGGTGAGAGGGATCTGGATTATGAAGGTCTCCGGAGCTGGGGAGATGAGATTGAATTTACTATGATGCTTGGCACTCAGAAGTCAACATGGGCAGGGAACTGGCATCTTAACTGTAAATGACTATTTAGCACTGGGTGTTTATGTTGTTTAATACGATACATGTAACTGCTGCCTTCACTATTGGGAGGTCTCTGGGCGATAAGCCTAAGTCTTAGGTGAGTTAAGCCTGACGTATCATTCCTCTCCACATCCGGTAGTGTCTCTAGCTTTCTTGGTCATCTTGTCTGATTCAGCTGTGTGCGTGTGTGCATGTGTGTGACTGAGGATTGTATCAGAGGCCTCTGGGATATAATGTAAGCATTCTACCACTGACTCCCCCAGACATTTTTATTATTTTTCAAGATTTATTTTTATGTGTACATATGTGTATCCATGTGTAAGTGTGTGCACTTGTATGTGAGTGCTCACAGAGAGCAGAAGAAGGAATTGGGTGCCCTGGAGCTAGAGTTACAGTTGCCTGGGTGCTGGGACCGAACTCTGGTCCTCTTCAAGAGCAGCAGACACTGGCTGACCCATCTCTCCACCCCCTTCCCCAGGATCTCAGTGAATTGTTCCAGTTAATCTCGACCTGATTCAGTCTCCTGAGTGCTGGGTTAGGGTGTACGCCCTCCTGAGTGAGTGCTGGGTTAGGGTGTACACCCTCCTGAGTGAGTGCTGGGTTAGGGTGTACACCCTCCTGAGTGAGTGCTGGGTTAGGGTGTACACCCTCCTGAGTGAGTGCTGGGTTAGGGTGTACACCCTCCTGAGTGAGTGCTGGGTTAGGGTGTACACCCTCCTGAGTGAGTGCTGGGTTAGGGTGTACGCCCTCCTGAGTGAGTGCTGGGTTAGGGTGTACGCCCTCCTGAGTGAGTGCTGGGTTAGGGTGTACACCCTCCTGAGTGAGTCCTGGGGTTAGGGTGTATGCCCTCCTGAGTGAGTCCTGGGGTTAGGGTGTACGCCCTCCTGAGTGAGTCCTGGGGTTAGGGTGTACGCCCTCCTGAGTGAGTCCTGGGGTTAGGGTGTACGCCCTCCTGAGTGAGTCCTGGGGTTAGGGTGTACACCCTCCTGAGTGAGTCCTGGGGTTACGGGTGTATACCACCATAGCTAGCTTAATTACTTTTTTAGTTAACTTTTGTTAAGAAGCCACTAGGGAGAGGTGGTGACGTACACCTTTAATCCCAGCACTTGGGAGGCAGAGGCAGGCAGATCTCTGTGAGTTTGAGGCCAGCCTGGTCTACAGAGTGAGTTCTAGGAAAGGCTCCAAAGCTACACAGAGAAACCCTGTCTCGAAAAACCAAAAAAAAAAAAAAAAAAAAGAAGAAGCCACTAGGGGGCTGGCGTGACTCAGTAGGTAAGTCATGAAGACTTGAGTTTGCACCCCAGGACCCACATAGAAAGCTGGGTACAGTGACATGTGCTTGTAATCCCAACAATGGTGACATAGGAGAGTGATTCAGGTGCACCCCTGGACGCTCACTGGCCCCCTAATCTCACCTACTTGACAAAGTTAAACACACACACACACACACACACACACACACACACACACACACACACATCACTACACACTTGTCCTAGATACTGGCAGCATGAAGGCTGGCCAGACATGGTCCTTAACCTCCAGGATCTCACAGGCCAGTGGACAAAGACAACGATGTAAACCCCAGGTGGATTAGGTTCAAGGCACGAGGCTCTTCTGGGCTCAGCTTCTGTAAGGGGTCCTGCTGAGTCTACGGTGGCCACTTGTACTTGTGTGTATCCAGTCTTACCTGCCCTTCTTTCAAAGCCATCAGGATTCAGTCCCAAGGTTCCACTGAATGACTTTCATCCTAAGCACTTCACAAAGGCCCACTGCTAAACACAACAGTTGGATAAAGATTCCCCTCCTAACATCTTGCAGCAGATACCAAGATTGGGCACATGAAGAGACACTCAACCCGCACTTAGATCCTGGCATCAGGGTTAGTGGGAGTTGGCAGGAAACACGTCCCTAGTCTCAGAGTAGAAAGCTTCAGCCCACTGGAGTCCCTAGAAGGAAAGGGGAGTTGGATGCCCTTGTGGACAGTATTTTCAGAGCAGGCTTTCTGTTTTCCACTCTTTTTCCCCATCGATTTCCAACATCTTCCGGCCTTCAGAGCCCTGGTAACTGCAGCTGAGCTTCAGCTTTGTTCGTGGGGGTCCACAGCACCAGATGATGGCTCAGTTTCAATGTTTTCCCATCTGCTTGTCTCACAGGCCAAGTTCAAGTCACTGACGGTGGTCAGCACCTTCACGTTAGGAACTGAGAACGGCAGCGTCCTGCAACTGCCAGAGGCATCCTCCTGGAGTGAGGTAGGACTGGAGCCGTGGAAACAGTGGCAATGGGATGGGTGAAGGATGGCCTTTTTCTTTTTCCAATTTAGTTTTTAACATCTTATGAGTATCAGTGTTTTGCCTGCCTGTGAGTGTACCATGTGAGTGGAGGTCAGAAGAAGGCATTGGATTTCCTCCAAACTGAGATGGTTTTGAGCTACCCTGTGGGCACTGGGAACCAAACCCAGATCCTTTGCAAAAACAAATGCTTTTAGCCACTGAGCCATCTCTCCAGCCCCACAATGGGATTTTTCAGAGCAAAACTATATCCATTAGGCGGTAGTCCACCAATCAGAGGTGGCACTTCCGCTACCTGGCTTCAGTGTTTTTAAGTAGGTTGTTGTTGTTTTGTTCTCTATTTGGGGGCTGGCTTTGTTATCATGTTGAATGAGGCTGGCCGGGTTAAAGGGCACAAATAAAACCCAAGTCAGGTGTGGTGATGCATGCCTGTAATTCTAGCACTGGCAGGCTGAGAGAGGAGGCTTGCCATGAGTTGAAAGGGCAGTCTGGGACATATAACGAAACTCTGCCTCAAAAACAAGCAAGCAAACAAACCCACAGAAGCCCGTCTCAAAAGCAAAGCATGGCAAATCAAAACAAAACAAACTCTCCTTGACATGCAGAGCCTGCTGGAGGTGATTCAGACCCGCACCACCCTCATCTCCCTGTGGATCCTCGTGGGCAGTGTCCTGGGAGGGCTGCTCCTGCTTGCTCTCCTCGTCTTCTGCCTCTGGAAGGTGAGCCCAGCTTTTGTGGGTGGTGGGAGTGTTGTGCCCACAGTTTGGAGCATCTTACTGTCGAGAAAAACAGGCTGTGTGCTGGGCAGTAAAACAGGCCGGGGGTGTTATGTTTGGACGTCCTTCACTCTAGTCCACAAATGTTGCTTGAGTCAAACTCAGCCAAAGAAAATAAATTTGAATCCCATTTTTTGGGAGCAGAACAAACACCAAGACCTCAGATAAGCAGGAGGGCTATTAGCAAGGCCCTCAGTCGGGGCATCTGGCAATGACTTGAACCTTCCCCTCTCCAGCTTGGCTTCTTTGCCCGTAAGAAAATCCCCAAGGAAGAGCAGACGGACGAGAAGTCGGTGCAGTGACTGCAGAGGACGGAGGACTCCGAAAGTCCTCTCTGGCGGCCTCTTCTAGAGACTCATGTCAAAACCGAGGCTTGGCTCAGAGGGAAAAGATGCTTCTGGAAAATGTCTCCAGACCTGCAGCCTGACTTGACTTTTGAGCCATGGGTATGCTGCTGGCAAGAGATGAGGCTTTGCCTCAGACACGAAGGGCTGGCACCCAAACACATAATGCCCCCACCCTGTGCTTTCCTCCTGGCCCTGCCGGGTTCCACCTCCAACATTGGGCCTTTGTTTGGGGCCCTATCTCCCCCATTACCGGGGGTCAAAAGATTTTTTTCCCCCTGATTCCTTTGAGAATCCCCTTGTCCTCCCTCACAATTCCAAAAAGAAGGTTCTCCTCCATCGCCCACCCACCTACCCCGAAACACTTTCTCACCTTCCTGCCTGCTCCCCACTCCGCAGGAGAGAGCTGACGTTGACTTAAAAGAAGTAAAGTCAACATCTGCTGCTTTCCTGTGGAGTCCAGTGATTCATAGAGCCGGATGGGGAGAGTCAACAGGAAAAGAGGGAGGAGGAAAAGCCACAAGAGACATTCTGTACAATTCCAAGGCACAGAGAAGCGTTCAGACAGGCAACCGCCAGCCCTCTTGAAACCCGAGACTCCTCGGGACGCCCGCCTTCAGGTGCTGGGGAAACCCAGCTGGCCCTGGGCTCTCTGGCCCCAACCCTCATCCTTCGCTGGGAGCAAAGCCAGGAGCCGGCGCTCAATTTTCTGGACCCAGGGGGCCCCCTGGTGGTTCAAACTGGAATAGCAGGGAAGCGCGTTGGCGGCTTTCTCACCTTACCCTTTGGGGCTTCCTTAGAGAAAGCGGCTTGATGGTGGGAACCCCTTTTCACCACACCGGCTTTGGGAAACAGCAGCTCCCCCCCCCCACACACACACACACAGGAGATCCGAACAAGGGACATCTGCATTAGAAAGCCTCAGTAGTTGGCGTGGGATCTCCGGGGAGTAAGCCCTTACCTGTCCTGCATCGGCTGTCTCTGTGGAGTAATATCTCCCAGGAAGATGTTTCCGGGCTCCTGTCCTGTGTTACAGGTTTCTCTGTTGGAGTGAGTTTTTCAGCCCTCACTTGATGTTTACTTAACTTAACATCAAGTTAACTCTGAATTCCCTCCCTCTTGTCCTATGTTTTGGTTCATGGGCGACTGGAATTCTCATAGTCACTGGTAAACGTTTTTTTTTTTTTTTTTTATTGTAATTAAGACTTGGAACACGGAGAAGAGAGGAGATCTGACTGGGCAGCTGCCACAGAACCTGTCTTCCCAGGCCGTTCCCAGGCCCTGTCTGCAGTGTTTATTTTGGTGTCTCTGGTTTTCCTGCAGAGCCTCCGTCCTGGGCACTGTCGTTTCTACCACGGTGATCAGATGGTCAGAACAAATAAATTCCAGTATCAAATGACTTCTAGTTCTGTTTGAGTTTCCTAGGATATAGGCTGCTCAGAAACGGAAGTACTGTGAATGTTTCTGTGGCTCTTCCACAGGGGATCTGCTCCAGCATCCTGCGATTCTCACCTACTTGTACCATAAAGTCTGGGAAATGCATAGGCTGGATCAAATCCATGTCTTTTTCTTTCTTTCTTCCTTTCTTTCCTTCTTTCTTTCTCTCTTTCTTTCTTTCTGAGACAGGGTTTCTCTGTGTAGCCCTGGCTGGCCTGGAACTCACTCTATAGACCAGGATGGCCTTGAACTCAGAGATCCTTCTGCCTCTGCCTCCCGAGAGCAAAGGCCAGTAGCACCTCCAGGCTCGGGTCTTTCATTTGTGCCATATCTTCTTGAACAAGTCAGAATTTCTTGGAGGTTCAGATAACAGGAGATTTTGTGGACAGGGTTAGGAATGAAGGCAGATTTGCGTGTATACAGGCTATCCTTTTCAAACACATACAACCTGGGACAGATTTAACTCCCGTGTTAGCTTTCTCATGTTTAAAGTAGAGTTTCTGAGAACTAGATGAGACAGTCCAGGAAAAGTGAACATGTAGTAAATGCTTAATAAATAGTAGCCATATTACAAAATACATTCTGTTATAAAATAATCTACCATTCGGTGTGCTGTAAGGCCCAAGTAGGAGGCGTACTGAAGTTCAAGTGGTTCCGGCCCTGATTTGATCCCTCTTTGTGCTGTTGGCTCCCTTCACCAGCTCTTATCCTGTGCCTCGTGCCCTTGAAGCAGACTCTTCAAATATATGAATGAATCTTGAGAGAGGCGAAGGGTGTGTGTGTGTGTGTGTGTGTGGAGTGGGAGGGTGGGGGGGGTAGGAAGAGATTCATTCCATAAGTTCTGTGACTCTGGGGAACCTGACTAATATTACCGTCATTGGAAGAGCAGGAAGTACTCTTGACCGCTGAGCATACCTCCAGTCCTTTTTTTTTTTTTTTTTTTTTTTTTTGGTTTTTCGAGACAGTGTTTCTCTGTGTAGCTTTGCGCCTGTCCTGGAACTCGCTTGGTAGTCCAGGCTGGCCTCGAACTCACAGAGATCCACCTGCCTCTGCCTCCCGAGTGCTGGGATTAAAGGCGTGCGCCGCCGCCGCCGCCGCCGCCGCCGCCGCCGCCCGTCCAGCCCTTCTTTATTCACAGGATTAAAAGACCGCTTTCAGGCTGGCAGAGAGCTCAGCAGGTAAAGGAGCTGGTCACCATGCCCGACCACCTGCGCTCGATCCCGGGATCATGCCCAGGTTAGTAAGATGGAGGAGCAAACCCTGCCAGTTGGCCTCTGACGTCCCCGGCTGTGCATGGACACAGAAATCAGGAAACGTAATAATTTTTTTGAAAGAAAACTTTTATTTTTCCTTTGTGTCATCATTTCTTGGCCTTTTGGCTAATATCAAATGTATCATGTGTGTCCTCCAGCAAGGACACACACACCTGCCTTCTCTCGGCCCCGGCTCTGGAGCAGGGCTTTCTCTAACGGCAGCCCAGTCCGCAGAAAGCCCATTGGTCTGAAGCAACACCAGTGTAGAAGCAACTGTAGAAACCATGGTCTCTTCGTCTGCACTAGACTGCTCCTGTCTTGTTGCTTCTTTGCTCGTTCATTCACTCACTCATTCATTCACTCATTCACTTAACAGGTATTAAAGACCTAATGTGTGCCAAGCGAGGGGACTAATAAAAACCACAACTGCTGCCATCAGAGAACCTGATAGGAAAAACAAAGATGTAAACACACAACAGGAAGGTGGTGGCTGTGTAGGTGACAGTAAGCACTGCCAGGAAGGGGCTGGAGAGGTGGCTCAGTGGTTAAGAGCATTGACTGCTCTTCCAGACGACCCAGGTTCGATTCCCAGCACCCACATGGCAGCTAATAAGTGTCTGTAACTCCAAGATCTGACAACCTCACACAGATATACATGTAGGCAAAACACCACTGCAAATAAAAAGAAATAAATTAAAAAAAATAAGAACTGCTGGTAAGTCACACACCAAGATGCACACCCTGGTGGTCGGGTTGCCAGGATTTTCAGGGGAAATATATGGCAACCATTAAAAACAAAAACAACAATGAGAATACACCAGCTGCAAAGAGATTTATGTATGGTCTGCTACAACAGTTTTTTTTTTTTTTTTTTTTTTTTAAGACACAGCTTCTCTATGTAGCCCTGGCTGTCCTGGCACTCACTCAGTAGCAGTAGGCTGGCCTCGAACTCACAGAGATCCGCCTGCCTCCTGAGTGATGCAATTAAAGGCTTGCGACACCAAGCCCTCTTCAGGCTTCTGTTTCAGAAGAGCCTCGTAAACCATGTTCAGAACGTCGGGCTTGGAACATCTTAGAGGGACTGCCTGCTGCCAAGCCCCACTGCCCGAGTCAGTTCCTGGACCCACACGGTGGCCAGAGAGAGCAGGTTGTCCTCTGACCTCTCCAGAAGTGTGCCTGTAGGACACACTCACGCCCCCCCCCCCACCCCGATAAATGAATTAACGTAAAACTTCGGGCTTTATTCCATAGAATTTCACGCGTATTTGAGTGGGCTTGCTGGGGTTACGGGGAGGAGAAGGGAGAGGTGGGAAGGCCAGACGGGTTGGCTGCAACCAACACCGGTCCAACAAGAATGACTAAGAACTGAATCCAAAGGACAGTAATGTGGAAGGGAGTTTTTTTGCTTGTTTGGTTGGGCAAACATACAGTAAAAAAAAAAAAAATGTCCCCTTGCTCCTTTCTAAGAGCTGCGTTAAGCCCTCAGCCTGATCCTGTCTCGGGTTTTGTCCCTCGGGGTCGCAGTGGGCCGCACATCACACATTGGTGCTCAAGTCTGCTGCTTAGCGTGGCAAGCGCCTCCGGCTTCCAGAGTCTTCTCCTTTAAAAATCTTCAGGACGTGGGTTTTCGACGGGGAGGGGAGGACGAAGCACAGTGGGTCACGGCCAAAGGCCTCATCCCAGGTGAAGGGACGGTTGGTGACATCGCAGCTCGTGGAGGTCCCGGGGCGGGCTGGGCGCCGGAAGGGCGGGGTGGGGGCGGCATCTGGGGCGGCGCTCCACGCAGAAAGGCTGGGAAGGTAGGGCCTGGGAGGCGCCTCTGCGGAGGCTGCGAGCATCCTTCTCCCACTGAGTCGGTCGGTGTGGGGGGCGGGTCCAGGCCGGAGGGCGGGGCCTGGGGCCCAGCCCGGGCGGCCGCGGAAGACTGCGGGCTTTTCGCCTCTGCAGGGGCGGGGCTGGGCCGGGCCAGGGGCGGGGTTTTGAGCCCAGCCTTTGGGTTCTCGTCTCTGATTGAGCAGGGTGGGATCTGGGGCGGGGCCTAGGGCGGGACCCCACTCTGCTTTTTGACAGCTGTCTCTCCTCCAGCCGCAGCCGCCGAGTGGGTCTGAGAACCTGTGGCCCGGCTCTCTGCGCGTCCCCGTCCCCCCGTGGCCCTAGCCCCGGCCATGAAGCGCATCTTCTCCTGCTCCAGTTCACAAGTGGCGGTAGGTGGGAGAAGGGCTGGGGCTGGGATCCAAGTCCTGTGTTGACAGAAGTCCTGAGTCCCATCTCCACGGACGATCACAGTGAGCCTGCCCCAGTCTATCGTGCGCTGCTGCGCCGGCAATGCGGCCGCCAGCTCTGCTAACTGAACTTAGGTTCGAAACCTGTCTCCCAAAACCTGTCCCTCAGCCTTCCTAACCTCTTCTTTCCCAAGGCCTTTCCCCTGGGCTCCTTGTTCTCCCAGCATGTATGACTTCCAGTTTCTGGTATGCTTTCCATGACCCTGCTCTCTACTCCAGCTCTGGCTCCCAGTTCCCACCCACCTCAGACATCTGCCCTACCCCCACCCCCCTAGCCTTTGCTTCCGTTCGTTCTTACTTCCACCCCTAACTCCTGCCCTATGGCTTCATTTTCCATCCCTGCCTTCTCCCCACAACTTTCTCTCCCGTAGGGCTCCATTTTCACTGTTTGCTTTCTGCCCCCAAGGTACTCTCAGCCCTAGCCCCTTCTCCACAGCCTCCTCCACTCTTGCCCTCTGTTCCACTCCACGACACTTCCTCTCCCATTCTTCCAAGCACCGCTTCAAACCTCTTGCCAACTGTCCATCCAACATGGAGCCTCTGCTTTCTCTTTGATTTCCGGCCACCTTTCCCCTCAATATTACTCCTGCTACCTTTTGCCTGGTCCTCCTGCCTGCTCACTGGGGCTTAATCCTGCAAATCTAGCCCAGTGGGCAGGCCCTGTGGAGGACATGCAGCCACCTGGCTGGTCCCCAAGAGCCTGGGTGAGTTGCCTGCAGAATCGATCCTGGCCAGTTCACTGCAGTGTCTCGCCCTCAGACTGGTTCTTGGGACCGGTCATGTCTCCCTGCCTGGCTCTCTCTCTCTCTCTAACTCCTCCTTTGTCTGGCTCAGGATTTGTGTTCCTTTTCTTTGATTCAGTTAGGGAAATTTGGTGGTGAGGGGTAAGAAGACAGAGAGTCGCTGGCAGAGGTTCCTCTCTTCTCCGTGCCCCCCACTCTCAGAAGACAGTGGTTCTGGGAGGGTACAGCCTCCTTCTCTACGGAGCTTTTCTGGAGTGACCCCTGTGAAGGGATGGCATCTTTTGTGGAGATGGGGGCGTGGGTTACTTGGTACTAATATTGCTTAGCTGACTTGTCACTCATGAGCAAATGTGGGAAATGTTCGGTTATCTCACTGTGCATGGGCAGGCCACAGAAACCTGGCAGAAAGCTGTGAAGCAAGGGCAGGAACTGTTGAGGCCTGTCTCTGTCCCATTTACATTTGCTTCTACACAGAGTTTCCACACACTGACCTACCAGTTAAAAGGCATTTACTATTGCAGGCAACAGAAACTGCGGCTACCTGGGTTCTGTCTTAACTTCCAGTGATTTTTTTTTTAATCCACGTCTACTTTCCCCTAAATATGGAAAGACCCCAGGATTCTTCCCTTTCAGATTTATGGAGTCTGCTGTCTCCTTAGGAAGGGGACTGTTCCATTCTTTTAT